TCAGCAGCCTTAGAGCAGAAGGCGGTCCCAGTCAATAGGTTTGCAGAACTCTCTCTGCACCCACAAAATTGAATCCCATTATCCTAATATATGGTGGTAGGACGTCCCACGACGTGCGATAAAACGTCCTTAAAGCTTGAAAAAATTATTCAGTTGTTAATGAGATGAATCCAGTTCCATATGGATAGCACGGTAAACCGCACAGGTGGAAGAGAACAATATATGATTTTCGTGCCATTCTTTTAAATGCAAGGGTCCTGCGAGATCACATCCTACGATTTCAAAAATGGCTGAATCACGAACCCTATCATTTGGTAAAACGCCTGGGACTGTCTCACCTCTTTTAGCCTTAAATCTCTGACATGTTACACATTTTCTTATACAGTTTCCTTATAGTTTTACGCGATTTTAAGATCCAGTATCTTTCTCTTAAATGCGAACATCAACAATGTAGTACTGCATGAAAACAAATCTTTGTGTGCACTTATATCAATAATTTGACTACTGGGTGCTCAGAAGGTAATATGATGTGGGAACTTAAAGCTGCTACAGTTGTCATACAATCAAGCAACATTAGGACTTAGCTCTTATGAGACCCTGACTATCGACAAATGGTCTGAAGTCGTCTTAGCTTAATCATCTGTTTCACCATTAAATAACTCTTTTTTAATATTAATAACATTAAAGCTTTCTCCCCTTTCTATTTCAGATACAGTCAAATCCGTAGAATGGTTGTTATTATTAATCTTATTTACATTATTATAAAGTCTGAATATCCATAATAATATTCTTACAATTTTCTTAAATGGTGAGAAATACATTATAGTACCAGTCCAATGCAATTATCACTTCTTTAACAACGTAACAATAACTGTCTTACGTATTTCTGAATTAACCAAATCCTCATCTGGTTCAGCATTAGATTTAGGCCAATTTGCCTCATCCTCCCGTAACCAATCAGGTCCCTCCCACCATTTTCGTTCTATTAATTGATCTACATAACAACCTCTAGAAAGTAGGTCATGAGACTACCAGGGACATGTCGCCATACAGTGGGGGAGGTCAAAGACCTGATTTCCCGTACACGATTAAAAACGAATGCTCCCAACGTTGATTTCGCGTTATCCAACTTAAAGCCGTCGAGGAGTCAGTCCAACAATGAATACGAACTTCATGTACGCCAATATCATTAATAACTGAAGACAATAATCTAGAACCACTATTACAAGCAAGAAGTTCTAATCGAGGAATCGTTATAGGTTTTAAAGGCGCTGCTCTCGATCTTGCGTATACCAAACTAACTTTTACCTTTTTGCCACTCTGTACTCTTAAAAAGACGCATACACCATACGCAATTTTACTACTGTCACAAAAGAGATGTATATTCTCACAGCTTCATTGAATAGATTTGAATACCTACCCATCTAGGTATTTGGATACTGGATAGCAAGTACAACTTTTTAAGCCAAAACTTAAACTTTTTGGTTAATTCATCGGGAAGAAACGTCGTCCCATTTAAGCCTTAAATTCCAAGTTTCCTGTAAAATTAGTTTTGGAATCAACATTACAGGAGCCGTATACCCTATAACGTCTAACACTGATTAGCTACTGCTAAAATTAGTTTTTAGTAACTGGGTCATCCAATTTTATATCTTGACTTATTTTGCAAGATAAGGTATCTGTAACTGTATGCCATACAAAGGCCCAAAACAGACACATCTCCTTCCGTGGAGGAATCTTCCTCTGGCGCACACTTCTTATATTGGATTTCCAGAATCTTAAATTAAAATGACCCGAAGCCATAATTATTTGTGATTTCATTTACAAACTTTCTCATTTCTATTTCTGAATCCATACTAGCCACACAGTTATCTACGTAAAGGATGTTTTCAAAATCTCCGCTTGTATGACTTAAGCTTTCGGGAACTACACTCAAATGATATTGTATTGTAGCGGGCCAATAAATACGGGACTACACGTAATACCAAAAACTACTCCTTCCATGCCGATACAGTTCAACTTGTTCTTGATTATCCCTACTGAACCACATAAATCTCAAAATGTCTCGATCTTTTTCCCTTATACATATTTGCAAGAACGCTTTTTCTATATCTGAAGTGACAACCAACGTAATTCTTGCGAAACCGATTAAGAATCGAAGGTATAATTTCTAATTAATTTTGGTCCAGTAGATAAACAAATCGTTCAATGATGGGTAACCAGGCGAATGAGAACTTGCATTAAACACCGGTCTTATACTCGTGCTACTATTTCTTTAACAACTGCTCTATGAGGTAAATAATGTACACCCTTATATTTATTCTTATCCGGTACTTTTTCAATTATCCTGAGTGCTAACCAGTTCTGGAAAATGTCTCCGTAAGCGTCAAAATTTCCCGTAGTCATTAATTTCCTTTTAGTACTTACAAGACATTTTTCTGCTATCACTTTGTTTTCGGGTAAAAGCGAGCTATCCAACACCCAAGGTAATGCTACTTCGTACCTTCCCTCTGAATTTACCGTAAGAGTCTCTTCAAAATATTTTTGCGTATCCTCCTGTAACTGAGTTTTGGTTTTACTTACGGAAGGTTCACCAATACCCAAAACATCTAACTTCCAGAGATCACTTATACATTGACCCTTCACTAACAGAGAAGAAATTAGGAGGGATGCGGTATTTATCGTAGTTGGCTCAGTGCCAGTAAATTTACCCATAACAGTCCAGCCTAATTGCGTATGCACCGCGCTGACGCCGCACGTAAGGGGAACAATTTTTCCAGTTAGCAACTTACCAGCAAAATCCGCACAATTAGTAATTTTATCTCTTTATCTACCTTATATGTACCATTTTAAATCACTTAATAATTTGATAAACCATGTGACTTAAGTTCGTGTAATCACGAACCAGATGGGAGTTTGCTTTAATTTTAGAACAAATTTTGTTTTTATCCAAGTACCTCTAATTTCTAATTTACACTTATATTTACTACATATATTGCTTACTTCAATAACATAGTTTTTACACACATTTTCTGAAGTCTCAACTCCACCAAAAAGAAATTGCTTAACTTTTGATTCACCAATACACTTACAATTTAACCTTCTGAGCAACATCATTACAGAAATATGATTTCATAGAACCACTATCATAAATTGCTCGTACAAACATTTTCTTTAGAAACCATTCTGAATTTTTACAATTAAAGTTTGAAGATATACACCTGATACGTTAACATAGTTATTAAGAATGCCTGTTTTGTTTTCGTCATTCCCTAACTTTGTGACACGTTTTTGTTTTGTTAGAAGGCAAATCAGGGCACATAATCACAAAATATTCGATTTTTACATAAGGTACACCTATGTTTAGCTGTACACTAATTTGCTCTATGGTTTTTCTTAAGGCACACAAAACAAACATTCTTTTCTTAATAATATCTTTCTTACATTCTAAACTCATTAAAGAGCATCCTTACAACTTTCAGACAAATGGGATTTTTCACAAAAAATACAAGTATCAGACTTTTTATACTTTTGAAAATTATTCATTACACTTACTACTATTTGCATTAATTAGTTCACATGCAGTTGGAACAACAGGTTTTGTGTCAAAAAACTTATTTTTTCTTATTACTTACTTTATCAGAACCCAAAACATCACGGGTAAGTTTAACTCCAAAAGTCAGTTTCTACTTCCCTTTTTAGAAAATCAATTAATGACTCTAAATCACTCTTACCTGTTGTTTCAGGAGACATACCTCGTTGTTCTTTCCCAAATTTGTATTAAATCAGCAGGAAGTGCTGATTCCACTTAAAGGAAATAAAACAACTGCAAATTTATCTTTAGTTAAACCGAGTGATTCCAATGCACGTAGTTGAGTTTGAACTTGTCATAAAGAGTTAATAAGTCTATCTTTTGTTTGTCATTGATTACCAGTTTTAATAGCTCTCTAACATAAATTTGAATTAAAGCATTTTCGTTTCCAAATCGTTCTTTGAGATACTCCACGGCTTTTTCGTAATTTTCTTCCGTAGCAGGAAAACTCTCCACTATTGCTCTAGGCGCAGTCTCAGGTTTCGTAGATTGTAGTAGATAATGAAACTTGTCTCTCTTGTTGATGCGAGTATCTTCATGTATTTTACTAAACCTTGTCCAAAACGTCAACCACTTTCGGGAGTCTCCATTGAACTTCACCAGTTCGATCTCTCGCAATTTCTGTTTTGCGGCTGTAACTATTCCTGATGAAGAACCGCTATTCGTTGACCCAGTAGAAGGCTGTGAACACTTATCCTTTTTCCTGTTGGCTTTTACTTTCAACGTAGATAATTTATCGTAATATTCTTGAGCTGCACTAAATTCTCTTTCGTATTCTTCTTCAGTACAGCCTTTTTTCTGTAGAAGTTCCAAAAAATAGTCATCCATATTTCGTAAAGTTTTATACTTCTCTGAAATTTGATCTAAATAAATTTCTAAATCGTTCAAATCCGGAGAATCTGATCGTATCAGTTCATCTAATTTATTAGCTGTTTTCATAAACGCACTCCTAATTGCTTTCCGCTTCTGTTTTAGTGTTTCTAAATCATCCATGTTTACACCTAGGAAATTCTCTTAGTTTCGTAAATTATCAAGTGTCGAAATCGATAATGTCACCCTGTGACATTCATCCTGGCAGGCTCGCCAAATTTGTTGCTTAACAAGTAAATCATAGGTTCGAAAATCTGAGCCGACACTTTTTAAAAACACCAACATTTATTTTCATGACATTTCTAATTCTACAAAATCTTAAGTGCAACTAACTATCAAACAGAAAAGCAGACGTAGACGTATTGATGCATCATCTGGGCACGTGATCCTCGTGACAGACGAATTCTTTAGGATTGCCACAGAAAGGCAGAGTGTCGCCACAAAAATAAATACTTAAATTTTAGAATATGTATGCACATGTACAGGTATGTATAAGAATTATGCTTCATAGATTATCATCACAAATAATTTCAATACATGAACAAGAAAATCATTTTATTTCCTAAACAAACATAATTAATTACAAGAAGGTTTCGTTAAGAAACCATGTTTTTTGCTCAGGTGTAAGGGAAACTGCTATTGCAAAACCATCACCAAAACTTCTATTTGAAATATGACACCCTAACTTTAGAAAGACTTTACTAGCATTTGTAAATACAATAAATACTACTTTACATTTTTAAAATATTACGGAAAAGCATAAATTATACAGCATTTTAAATGAATACTGATGGGTACATTAATGAAATGGCACATAATTGGATCAAGCTAAGCACGTTACACGCAGCATTTAAATATAAAATATTAAATGCATAAACAAGTAGTTTTGGAACAGAAAGTTATTACAATACCTAAAAATGACTTAACAGGGAAACACTAAAATAGTTTTAATATTTTAACAATAAATTTAATAATAAATATATTGAAATATTTATTTCATATCTAGAAAGTTACTATACTGCTAATCAAATACAATATGAAACTGCTATTCAGCAAGTGTGCAAATTTAAGGCCAAAATAAAATATGATTGGTAATTTTAGAAATATGAAGTAACTAGGTCCATTCATAAAATTTGATTAGGTCTATTTTCTGAATAAACTGAAAAACCTTCATTCATTAACTTTCTTTATAAACATATGTAAACTGTCAAAACTACCATTTAAATGTTAATAAGGATAATATTAAAATGTAGAAATGCGTAAAAAGAATGCTACTATTTATTTAGCTTTTTGTGAGATACTTTATATAAATGACAGAATAATTTTATCCATTGACATTTTAGTGAACCAAGTTTGAAAATTTGAAATTTACATATAAATCTGCCAGGAAAGGACTAGGATATCTATAAACAAACAAATAAATAAATAAACTGTCTGGCAATTTTATTTTACACTGTGAACAAATACCTAATATTCCAAATTACAAGAGAGTAATATACTAGTTTATTTACGAAAATTTAAATTAAAGTTTTGTACAAGAATCTTGCTTATAAATGCAGTTGAAACAGATCATGACAAATCATTTTTTCTTTACAAAAGTTTACCTTCAGAAATATTGAATTCAGATATGTACTGGTTTAGATTACTTTAAATTATCATTTATGCTACAAAAAAATAATAAAAAATAATAATTCCTATTTATGCATATATAACCAAACTTATTAAGCAAACTTTCAATGTGTGTACTAGTATTGCTTATTTTTGCTTGGAAATATTTAAAGCAAAACGACACTTCTAAAATTGATTTCATGATTATGAAACACATTAAAAGTAACTGCCAATTATTAAACTTACAGAAATGCTTCATCTGTCAGCAAATATACAACAGACAGAATACACATCTGCATTTATATCTGCTAAAGTGCATATGATTCTCAATAATAATAATAATAATAAAAATAATAATAATAATAAAAAAAAAAAAAGAAAGAAATGAATAATTATTAGCTGCAACAGGTAAAAAATTTTAGATTTACATCAAAAACTGCAATTTAATGCAAATGATGTCAGCACAGAGAAAACAAACAATTAAATAAATATTAGACATTACTGCACTAATTGAAAAATATGCAATGACTACATTAAGTACAAAAATAGAAAACTGTTCAGTTTAAAACATTACAAATACGCAAATTAGCAATACATGTGAAAAAAAATAATTTTTACAAAATGATAGTCCAAGAATACAAATGTTTCTCAGAAATAGGAAATTTCATAATAAAGTTATATAAAAAATATCTTTGACGGTAAACAATATGCAAAAAAGTCAGAAATCAGAAGACAGCGAATTTAAAAGTTTTGTATAGAACGATAATACATAGCTAATGATGTGAAGGTTTTGTTAAGGGAGTGAGTTAAGTGGGTTTTTATGCAGTAAACTACACTTATTCTGATACATTTCATACAGGCAAACTGAAAAAATATGAAGACACACAAATCAGTTTCAATTAATTAAATAATTCACATCTTACATTTTATATATATGTATGTATGTATATGTATTTCTAGTGCTTTTCAAACACAGAATTAATACTAGAAAAAAAGACTTTTTAATTTAAAAAGTGATAAATTAAAAATTAAGAAGAAAATGTAATGAAAAGAAATCACAAAAAGTAAACAGAAGTTTGAAGATGATAATTTGGAAGATAAAATGAAAATTATAAAATTAGATATACTTATTCATCATATTAAAGCAGAAGAAAAATATTAAACTGATTCCATTTAAATTTATTACTATCAGTGAAAAAGTATAATTAAAAGTCTTTGTTCAATAACTTTCAGTAATTTCTAATATTTTTTTTTTGGGGGGGGACACCAGAAAAGTTATAAAAATAATTTAAGAATAAAATGTCCGATCTATAATTGATTTGAACATTTTTATTATAAAGCTATTTTGCTACTTCCTGAAGAATTTTTGTAATAGTAAGAATTATAATTCTGGCTCTTAGCCAGGATTTGAGTAATGGTCCTTTGAATAAAGTATCATCTTTAACCACCCTATTATCATTATAAACAAAAATACCATGTGGAATAAATATTAAAATAAATAAGATTGCAAAAAGTGCAGTTAAACTTATTTTTACTTTTACTATTGAGAGGGGGGATTTCTTTTTCTGTAAAAGGAATTCCACTAACAATATCACATTTTGCTTTGTTACTATTGAGACATTAAAAAAAATGCTCTTTCTCAATGAACTACATAGTTATTAATAAACCAAATAATGTTCATTTCATTACTATCAGTAAATTTCTCCACAACCAAGGAAATACTGAAATATAACTTGTGCTAAATATTTTCCGAACAGTGCAAAATTTTGAGTTTCTATTGTGGTGTTTATCTTTGCATATAATCAGCAGGAATCTAATAAAGAAAATTATTCCAAAAATCATAACAAAAAAGACCATTCTTAAATTAATTACTTTTTTTGTGTAACATAACTGAAAACAGCTTCTGAATCAATAAAATTTCATTTAAAACCTTCATGGAATGCATTATCAGTAAAACAAAAGTTTTTAATATTATTTTTAGCATTTATATAAATAAATAAGACAGTCATACAATCATACAGTCTCAGAAGTAGGGGAAAATGAATTATATATAAAAACTTTAATTTCTTAGTAACAATGAAGAAAAATATAACATTAGATTTTTTCCATGCATGCACATCTATTACAATGACTTAATAATCATATCACAAAAAATAAAAATGAAGTCAAAACATACAAAAATGTTGTATGTCAAAATATCTTTTCATCTTTCAAAATTTGATAATTCACAAAATATACATAATTCATAGATAAATCACATATACATAACTTCAGAGATAAAAAGTTAGTGCAATCTGTACAAAAGTTAAAGTGCTGTTTATCAAAAACAATATCACACAGTTTACAACACATATTGTACATAATTGGTCCCTAGAAATAAATGTAAGGCTTTACATTATATAAACCTACAATTTTAATCTTTTTACAAAAGCTATACTATAGAATGAAGTTTATATATATTACATATACAAACTTAGACTGAACATTAATATAAATTATGTACAAGCATAATTGGCTATTCCAAAAAAGATATCAATATTTCTTTAATACCTAAAAAGGAATCATAACAAGTATTGTATTCATTTACCAATTATTCTAATTTGCACTGAATACCATAAATGTTTAATATTCAGTTTACACTATATTATATGAATAGTGCTATTTGGTAACAGTAATAAGGAATCACTCAACTTTTCCAAGCTGCATATAGTTGGGTCGGAGGAAGATGAGGAAAAAGAAATGTGCGATGGCCAGCATCAATTTCAAATGCTTTGTACTTCCTACAGGAAAACGTTCAAAACATCTACTTTTAATTTAACTGTTGAAAGAAACTTCAGCAAAATATTTCTTTATTACTGTCATCTTTTTTGTTCTTTGACTTGTCATTTACAAGTTTTAAATGATGCAGAATACTGTTCTCAGATTTAAATTTCGGAGACACTGTGCTGTTGGTGGGTGATGTGCTCTGCACTAGTGCTGGACTGCTCCCTCCCCTGACATGAACAGGTGTAGTCAACGTTGACGATGGACTACTTGCAGCACTGTGCGATCTCTTTGGGGCAGCATTTTTTGCCTCCACTGAGTTTGAAGTTTGAACATTTGCTGTTAGTGTTCCTAGTGCAAGTTTCATAGGAAGAACCTGCTGAGGTCCGCCTTGATTTGATACAACTGCACTGCCATTAGCAGATTGGGTATTAGCAAGTTTTAAAGGTAATTGTTGCTTTACTGGCTGCACAGAAACAGACTGTCGTTTCTGCATGTTTGTGGCACTACTAGATAAATGAAGAGGAACAACTTTGCCAGTGGTTGCATTAGTTGCTATATTCAAAGAAGGTCTGTTTTTTGAATCAATACGATGAGAAGGTGCCACTGAGTTAGAGCCAGATGAAACATATGGAATCTGGTCATCATTTGATGATCTGTCAGTAGTCAAATCATATGAAACTGTTCTACGGTGAGAAAAGTCTGCAGAAGTTGGATGTATATTTTCAGAAAAATTATTTGCACCATGAAGTTCTTCTTTATTTTCTGGATCTCTTGAAGAGCAACTATTCAGATTAACTACATTATGAGATGGGCTTAAAATAATTCCTTGCTTTTGTAGTGCATCTAACTTTCGGTACAAAAGTTCCCTTTGGTGAGTAACATCTGTTTGCTCTATCTTTAACTGCTCCTAAATAAATAAATATATTAAAAATTATTCAACATGATGAAGTTATACACAAAAACACAAATAGAGTACAGTCCAAAGTCCGTAATTCGGACGTTCATTATCCGAAATGATCTATAATTTGGACCTCAAAGCCACAAACTTTTTGTACTAATGTTTTTTTTTTGGTATGCATTTGCATAATGCATTTACGCATGCACGTTTAATGTTACACCTGCATATTTAATGTTTACGCATGCATGTTTAGCACAAAAATGAAGCAACTTACATTGAAAGAAATGTTTAATAAAGTAAACAAATACATATTAAGCTTTTTCTTGTAAATTTTGATACCCTTTAGATCATAATTGCTCTTTATTTCATTATTAATTGCTCTTTATTTATTATAAATTACGGTTTCATATTTTTAATTGTATAATTTCTGCACGCTATCTTACCAGATTTAAACTGTTGATCTATAATCCAGAATCGCCGAAGTCCCGACGAGTCCAGATTATGTACTTTGTACTGTATAAATAAAATAACTGGCACTGCACAACTGTAATATTAATTAACACATTTAAATAGTAATTTCTATCTTTGGTGTTTATCTCAATAAAGAAGCTAATCTGGACATTATCATATTATTAACTATGACATAAATATCTTATATCTTTAAAGCAGTTCAAAAACTCTTGCAATTAATAACACGAAACAATCTAAACTCATAATTAAGTCATATTTACACATAAGAGAGAAAACCTTTCAAACAGTTTCTCAAATAAGCAAAGGTTTGTAAATAATGGACTTTGGGAATAAAATTGCTGATGAAAGATAATTGCAATTCTGTTTGCTCAGGAGGAAGCGAAAACTACATTTCATGAAAATTTATGGCAGACTGAGACACCTACATGCATGAAAAACATGACAAAGCACCTCTTAATTTCAGAGCATGTGAGTTAATGCAAACTGTTCAGGCTAAGTTAGACATGAAGCATTTAACTATTTAATTTTTCTTCATGAGTTAGATATGGAGACTTCTGCTAAATGAAGATGAAAATTAAGAGAGAAACTGAATTGAGAAAACCATTTGATGTTGCTTCTAAAATTATCAGGAATACAAGTCTACAGAATGAAATCTGTGGCCATTTCCTTTTCTCTGTTGATTCTACTAAATTAATAAATTTTGTCAGATGGAATGGCATGAATATTGCATGGAAGAATTGTGGAATTCGAGGATAAGAATATAGAATATTCTACTTGTCAGAATATTGAAATCTAGAGTGTTTCTATTTTCCATTTCATGGTAGTAACTATGTTGGAAGGTGAAAGAGACTGTTTATGAAAACTATAAGGAATCTTGCTTTGCAAACTATAATAAACAATTATGAAAAGATCAGCAAATCCTGTAACTCCTGTAAAAAATATATTTGTAAAGAAAACAACAAAAATAAAACTGGAAGAGAATGCTAAAAATAGCTGATTCTTAAGAAAATACTGGAACCAAAAGATTGTGCAAGAAAAGAGTATTTTCTTGCACAAAGTACAAAAGTATCTATCTTGCACAAAGTAGTGAGTATAAAAGTATCTTGCACAAATCTTTTCTCTTTTGTAAAAAACAAAAGAGAAAATGCAGTTGCAACAGTGAGTATAATTTTGAATCTCATAAATTCGATATTAGAGACAATGAAGAGTGACCATGTGGTTCCAAAACAGCATGGGGGGGGCAACCAGTTCCAAAACAGCAGGGGCAAACCTGTAGATGCCCGTTAACATGCCAACTGGCATCTGCATGTTGGCAAGTCAAATGGAAGTCTCTAAAGAAAGAACTAATGAATTTGTGAAAGACAGAGACTAAAACCACATGAGATCAACTAAAAATCTGTCAAGAACCGTAAGTCGAAAGAATCATGCTGTCAGTACGCTGAAATCAAAACAAATCTATTCACACTTCTTGACATGATCAATGTAGAATAAATTTCCAAATAAGATATACATTAATTTGGATATCTTAATAAATAAAAGGTCTGTACACTGGGGAAAAATACAAATTATGGTCTTCAAGAAAAAGGTTTGGCAGATGAAAGACATTTTTATAATTGTAACATAACTTGGAATGCTTTGAATTTAAAATAAGATGCCAAACTGAAGTCTGAGTTAGAAAGCTCAGATTATCAAAATCAAGGTGATCAATCATACACAAATAAGGACAAGATTTCAATTACAATTATGCGTTCCATCCAGGGGGTGGGGAGAATACTTGAAAGACACTGAGGGTTAAAACTATATTCTATTTCTGTTATTTTTTTTATAAAAATCATTTATTTTAATTTATGCAAAACAATGTTTACCATCATGCCATTTTCACCAGTCAAATGGTATGTTATACAGACAAAAAATTACATTAGAATAATGGATCATAATGTAATAAGTTCTGCAAGTTGACTGTGAAATATATTAGGCAAATAATCACAGATAACAAATAAAATAAAATTTTCATAAAACAGTTTTAAAGTAATTCTAATCAAATTACAGTTATAAAAAATTTACACTTCAAATTTAAAAAGCAAATAAACAAAAACAAGTCTACTTTTTATTTTTTATTTTTATTTTTTTATTTTTTTTTGGTTTAATTTTTGGGTTGGCATGAGATATACCTTTTTGTATAAGAATAAATAAATACCAAAAATAAAATTATTTAGAATGACTTAATATATATATTCAAATGCACATTTTATTTTATGAATTATAATTAAATGGAATCAGAACACCACATTTATGGAGATCAAATGATTTGCAGTAATGAGTTCCATGAACTCTTAATCATTTTTTCCATAAGTAAGACTATCCAAACATTTAGGTAATGCGGCTCCCAATTTCATAAATCTGCCACAGACATCAATGTAATCAGTACAGTGCAAAGCTATATTATTATATGGATGAGAATTCTAAATTACACTGATAAGAAACAAGCAAAAATTGTACTTTGAACAAAATTACACTGATAAGAAACAAGCAAAAATTGTACTTTGAACAATCTTTCGGAGCTACATTTAAATAGACACCTTTTTGGGAGAGGAAAATACATCAGAAAGTATATTATACTTTATGCTGAATGCTTATGAAATACACAAAGAAAAAAACTAAATGTACCATTTACAGTAAATAATGATAAAGTTATAGGATAGATGGGTTTTTTTAGTTAAAAAAGAGCTTTATGAGAACACTTAAAACAATACTTATTAGAATATGTCATTAGTTCATTATAAAAAATAATTATAATGGAATTTTTAGATAATTATAGTTCTGTGCACAATTTATTCTATTCAGTGTAAATGACAAAAAAAAGCCCACAAGTTTCACAAGGGCTTGATCTAATTATTTTATGATTCAATTATTTAGCAATTAATTTGTGAAACTTTTTTTTAAATATAAAACTGACTATTGTTAAGACATTTTGACAATGATTATAAAACTGAACCTGAAATAAAGTTTGATGTTATTCAAGCATAAGTCAGTTTAAAAAAAAATTCGCGTAAGTTATTTATAAAAAAGGATACACTTAATTTTTCTAAAAAATTATTTATGTAGATCTTAAGGGGAAAAGTATTTAACATATTACATAAACAAAAAAAAGAAGAAAACACTGTATTTAATATTAACATTAAATAACATTTTAACAAGCAATTTGAAAAGCATTACTTTAAGTATAACATAATTTAATTTTTAATAGTTGAACAAAGCTCAATAAAAAGATTTTTCATCACTTTTTAAATGATGATGATTTTAAATTTCTCAATACACTTAGAATTTAACTAATAATTATGCATTTAAATAAACAAACTCGCTCCCATGTGAAATAGCTACTGAATCTGCAAATATTTTCCTACGAAACAACTAATATTTTTTAGAAAAATTACGCTTAACAACTGAAGAATGCTGAAAGGAACTGAAAAGACTAATTCTTCATAAGATTCCTAATTTTCTTTAAAATAATTCAAACTTTTTAAATTTATTTACCTGTAATTTTTCCAATTCCTCTCTCTGACTTTTCAATTCAGCTTCACACTGAGTTTTTTCCTGTTGCCAAACAGCTCTATCATGATTTAATTGCTTCTGTAAGTTTCGTAATTCTTCCAGTTGGTGTTCAGGACGATACAGTGGCCTGCGGTCTCGAACCTCCTTTTCCTTGGTTAACTTAGCTAACTTATCATCTGTCTGAGCAATGTGCACTTTCATACTGGAAAATAAAACACAGCATATCGAACAATGGTTCAACATATGATAGTATTAAATTCTGTAATAATTACAAAAATCAAAAGAACACTTGCATACCTTTCTACAGTTGATGATAAATGCAATACAGTACACTGTAAAAAAGAAGAGAGGGGGAGAAATTCAGACATTTGAAATAAAATTTTTAAATACATTCTAGGAAATAAAAGATTAATCCTCTACTTTAGGGAATGATAATGAAAGATTAGATAAAACAAATTTGACTTCGCCCATTAGGGCTGTTACGTCACTGAGTTTAGTTTAGTTTTTAGTAGTTATAATTATTTGAGGAATTAAAGCAAAAAGAATCAGTATAATATCCATATAAATGCTGATTATTGCTTTAACTCCTCCAATAATTGTTATTGTGTTATTTTAACTCAAAAAAAAGTTTACATACAATAATATAAGTTTAAATACAGTAGACAAAATAAGTTAAAAAATAAAAATTTAAATACAATAGATGTGCATGTTTTATGGGTAATGTAAATAAACAGCAAATATACCTGCTTGAATTGAAATAGTTATATATACCAAAAATTCAGCAAAACTTACAACAACTGTATTCAAATGATGAGCAAGTTCTACAATTTGTAAAAGTTGTTCCTTTCCTTGTGTCATCAGAAGAGGTGTGGCTGTAAGACTCATGACTTCAGCATTAACTTCTCTGAAAGGCGGAAAACTAGAGTGCTGAAGAAAACTAGACGATAACAATTTTCGACTATGCTGTTTATCCTACAAGTTAAAAACAAAAATACAGAAGTATTAAAATGTACTGTTTTTCCCCACTTACAGAATTATTGTTCAAAAATAATTTACAAAAATACAGAAGTATTAAAATGTACTGTTTTTCCCCACTTACAGAATTATTGTTCAAAAATAATTTCATACACAAGCAATCCTATAAGAATAAAATTGCAAGATCAATTGTGAATGCAAATCACAATGACAGACATTTTGACTGCCGAAAAGGAACTTGTATTTTATTATTTAAAAATACAAAATGTACTTTTTTAACACTATTAAGCAGAAATTGTTCATGTATACTGTTGAAATTATCAAATAATTACTTTGGTAATCTTAAAATGATTAAGAAATACACAAAACTTTTAAAATTAAGATCTAAAAATGTATGGGAATCGCTAAATACTACTAAGAAAGAGTCACAATGAATATCACCTGGAAAGCTGTATCTTTTTTTAAGTTTTATATATTCCACATTAAAAGTAATTTGAGGAAATGTCATAAAATTTACCAAAATTCTTTGGAAAATATTAAAAAAAAAAAAAAAAAAAAATTATATGTAGTTGATTTGATCATGATTGCAGTTTTAGTGTTAACAGATTATGATAAAAAAAATTCAAAATAATGTTTCTATTTTTACAGCTGTTTATTATTCATTGCATTTCAATTGAATAATATGAACTTACTGGGCTATTACAAACAGATGGTGCTTTTCCAGTGACTGATAGCGATGTCTGTAAACCAAAATTCTGAAAATGAAATAAAAATGAACTATCAGTTTTATGGATAGTGTTATCAAAATATACATTAGGAAATACTGAAAATGCAGTTATTCTATGATAAATACTAGATATATTTAAGCATGAATTTAGAATTTTAGTATTTAATAAACTTAAAAAAATGCATTTTTGGCTAATCTCAAATTAAAATCTAGTATATGGGAATGTACCAGACTAATATAAAAACTGAAATTTATTTACTTTCATCAGCATGGTACCGCTATTTAAATGATTTTCATCATGTATTTTTTTTATTTAACTTATCATTCTAATTATTCATAACATGCACACATATTTATAACATTCATAAAATATTCTACTAACATACATTTTCAGCAAATTTTTTAAACTTATACTATATATTTTCTACAATAATTGAATAAACTGAAAATGATTTCATAAAAGAATGATATCTGAAATAAAAATTCAGCTTCAAGGATAGAATTTAAAGATGAAATATATTCTGCAATTGAGAGCATGGTTCTAGGAATGCCTTCTGATATTTTAAACATTTACAGCATTAACAGTTTTCTGGGATATTAAGTTATGTGACACTATATTAAATTAATGCTGTCAAGGAATTTATCATGTAACTCACAAAAATCTTTTATGAAAATAAAAAGTAAGCAATGTGTACTAGTAATTACTAGTACATTATTACCTTTTGATATTCTACCATAAAGCTGCTAATAAATATCCTACATCTTTAAATTATTGATAAAAATTAAAAGATTATGCATTATTAGCTTCCCTACTGTTGCTGACAAATTAATCACTAGAAAAAACTGGGACATGTTTAACAACCTCATGGAACCAACTTACCACCACAATACCAACTTACCACCCACAGTGATGTTGGTACAGCAATGAAAGACTCACACAAGACAGTGATTAACTGCATAAAAAATGCCTCTACGATGAGATGGCAGACCTAAAACTTTATCCTTCTAGATATGTCCCAAGAGTACTAGAGTTTAGAAACCATTAAACTTTATAAAAAAAAATTTCTCCCGCCTTCTTAGCGAGCCTCTGTGGTGTAGTGGTCTGCACGCTCAGTGTGTAATTGAGAGGTCTGCGGTTCAATTCCCTGCAAAGGTGTTGCTAATTTTTCATCTTGTCTGTTTCAAAAATACCTAATGTCTCTACAGTGGCGCCCGAACTAAAAGGGTGTTGGATGATGATTCTCCTCACCCAGGATTTGGCGATTGGGTCCCCTGAAGACCCCAGTTGCCCTTTAAAAGAGGGATATATAAGGTATTTCTCCCCCCTTCCTAGCGAGCCTTTGTGGTGTAGTGGTCTGCATGCTCAGCGCGTAATCGAGAGGTCCGCGGTTCGATTCCCGTCGAAGGCGTTGCTAATTTTTCATCTTGCCTGCTTCCAAAAATACCTAATGTCTCTACAGCTTAATGCAGAAAAACATAAAAGAACAGTGTCAGAACACAGATGAAAGGCATGGAACAACCCAGTTAGTTTACTGGCTACCAAGAAACTATTCAATAGGTTAAAAATAAGAAAGAACATAATGGTTCTATAATGGGTGACACAAGCATAAAATATACTCATGTGTCACCTCATCTTGCTCATCTACCAACAAATCAGCGTCACTTCACAATGCCTGGTCAAATTAGGACTTCGATTACAAAGCTTAATCCTAGAAATTCCAGTGACTTAAATGATATTCCTAACAATGCACTGAAGGTGTTCCAGACCAAAGTAATTGTCTTTCTGTGCAACATTTTTAATGCTTGCCTTAGATTCATGTTGAATGCAATAAAACAAGCTGGTATCACCATACTTAAAAAGCTGTTAAAAGATACTACCATTCCTACAAGCTATAGACTAGGGGTTCTCAACTGCGGGAGATTTTATAGTTTGAAGGGGTAATGCAGTCAGCCTTTTATTTCACTGTTTTCAGCATTTAGTTTTAGTTTATGAATATAAAAAACTACCTTTATTCAAGTTTTAGTATTTACCAACATTTTCTATACTTTTTGTTGTTTTATTTATAAAGCATGTTAGAAAAGAATATAAATCTAAATAAATGTATATATGCATTTTTCAGCTTTTTTGTTTGGGGGGGGAGGAATAGTGAAATGAGTGCATAGGACAAAAAAAATGTTGACAAGACCTGCCATAAACCAATCAGCTTGTTATCCACAGTTTATAAGCTGCTTGAAAAGGTGATCCTCCAACACATCAAGAAAAAAATTATTGAGGATATCAATATATTGCTCCTCGTAAATTTGGCTTCAGGTCTTGATATTCGACTGCTTAGCAGATCTTCAGAGTAGCTGGAATCATCAGTGAAGGACTCAGTAATAAAATTGCCATAGCTGTTTTCTTACTGCACTTTGAAAAGGCTTTGGATAAGATATGGAATGAGGACTTATCAGAAAAATGATAGCATATGGCTTTCTGTCTGCATTTCTGCATCTTTTATCTAGCTATCTGAGTGCTTGCACTTATTTAGAAGAGGCACTTGCCTCTCCAAAACTAGAAAAACATTCAGTTGGGGTACCTCAAGGTTCTTACCTATTTTGCTCCTCATCTACATCATGAGAGACCCATAATAAACTGCAAAGATGCCATATGCCATCTTTGCTGATGATAAGGCAATATTCACAATGTCCATAAATGCCAACAGGGCCTCCAAGAATCTGCAAGATGCATTAGACAATGCTGAAGACTAGTGTGATTAATCGATATGCAGAAAAGTGCTTCTTCATGATATTTAGAAAACATAAGGTGCAAATGAACACTTGCCTCAAAATGTGTAGAAAGAGCATGTGTTTCAGGTAAATACCTGGTTGTGATGCTTGAAAAAAACTTAGGTTTAAAAAGTATGTTAACTATGCATTAAACAAGGTCAATCATGAGCCAAACTATGCATTAAACAAAATCAAGGTCATCATGAGCCAAACTGCTATAATGGGTAGGAATTTGATGCTAGCCATCAATTCTAAATTTCTAATCTAAAGTCATGATTAGGTCCATTTTCATTTATGTTGCTCCTGCTTGGGTCCAGTCTTTCAAAACAAGTGCCTCGGGATCATCACAAATAAGCCATGGTTAATGAGATCCAAGCACTCTGCACAGAGAATTGAAATTGCTTTGCTTCTTCAGGCTACTGCACAAAACAGCTATAGCATCATCAAAAAATCTGATTTTAGAAAAGTTTGGGAAATATTCAACTGTAATGAGTTAGTTTGCTGATCAATTAATGAAATGTCCAAAGACCATTTTCCATGATACTTCATGGTAATGGAAATTTACCACTATTCCAAGGTGTTCATTTTCCCACTTAGATTTAGTATACGGCCTAATAGGATGAATCTTCAACATTAAACTAATGCCTCAGAACTCATCTTAATACAAAAGAAGTAACAGTTCCACTTCTGGATCTAGAAAACTAGTTACAATTATGGTCTATAATTTAGATCTGCCAGTCTCCTAGATTTTCCAAGTCGATGATATGGTTAATTGCTTCAGAGATATGTCCACTTTAAAACAACAATAATAGCAGATTTAAGTTTGTATAATTCTGCTAGTCTTTTATCGAATGATTGAATTTATATTACTATTTGACTGGAGTTGATTATTTTTGTTTATTTTTCCTGGTGATAAACACTTCCATGCAGCTAATGTTTATCCCTTCACTGTCACAGGACTAGTCACATAGCAAGTCCACATAGATAAGAGATGCATACAGACTTACAGCTACATACTATATTTAAATTACATACTATATGTATTAACAATACACACCTGTAATGCAGTTTCTAATGATTCACCTAAGTTAATATCTTCCATTTTGTTCTTGGAAGGTAAAATTGATATCTCATTGTGCTCTTTTAAATGGAGGAGTTTCCTTTTGAAAGCAGGGACTGAAAAGAAAATTTCTTTTTAGGAGAAATATAACATAAATTTTGGAAGTATCAAAACACAATACAAACACAAACTGAAAAACAAAGAATTATACCTTTGGTAGGTGCAACTTGCTCCTTGCTGGGATTATCAAAGCCACCAAATGTTTCAGCACGCTTCGGCAACAATGGTGAAACATATGTTTCACTCTGTCGCTCACCCGCGCTGCTCACACTGCGACTCAGATTACTACCTGATGTATAGAGATTACTAGCTAGTCTAGAGGCTAAAAATACAGTCATTCAAAAATATTAATTACTTATACCAATTTTAATAATAAACATGTAGTTATAAACTATTACAAAACATTTAAAAATAAAATCATGAGATATCATATTCAGGTCCCTGATCAAAACTTTACACAGAGAAAAGTTTACGTTATTTAGTCAGCTTTTACTCTATTACAACAAAATTCCCTAATGCCATTGAACTCCAATAAGAAATCTGAAAATTTCTAATATGAATCTATCATAAACAACTTACACTCATTTGGACATAGACTATTACTAAAAACTTTATCTTTTTTATCATATTTACTAATTTCTTTTCTCCAAAGTTCAATCAAAATATGATAATACACAATATCAAAATATGATAATATACAATATGATAATACACATTTTGCATCTGGAAAAGTAAAATGTTTTCAATTTTTTCCTTCTTTGGCCAACAAATAAAAAATATGTGGTTTCCTGCCTGTCTTCATAATCAAGAAACATGGTGAAAAAGTAGTTCAAATAAACAAGGCCCTCTCTAAGACAATTACACAACATCCCAAATAATTTTGTCTTTGGTAGAAGTGACTGCTTTAGATAAATGTAAATATTAAAAGTTTTTATATTTTCAAAATAATGGGTCGGTTTTAAAGACGGTTACCATGAGAAAATTCACTGTAAGTAGGAAATGAAGTACAGCGTATTCTCTTAATAAGGAATCAGTTCGTATATATTAACAAACCTTTATTTCATATTCTAACTAGCAGAAGTATAGAGCCTTAAGCTATCTTTTAACTGAGTAGGAAGAATATGCAGCAAGTTCTACATCAATCAAAATGATTTAAAATGCTATGATAAAGAAAACCTTTTATTATTTCTTATATTACATAAAAGTTAGTTACAGTTGCTGACAATAATGACCTTTTTCATAAAACTTTGAATAATTTATTTTGCTTAATAATTAATAATAAACTTAATAATAAATTTAAACTTAAAAATTTATGTTGCTTCAATTAAAATACATAGCATTGAGCTTGCTGGAAAAGATAACTTGTATGCTCTGTAATTTAAATAATATAAAATATTGAGAGCTGCTTGGAGATAATTACAAGACCAGATGAAGGATGCTTTAAATGTGATATAGGAAGATTAAAAATGCATTTCGATAATAAGAAGATTAAAAATCTCTGAAGTTGTTGAAGCAGAATTCTGCCAGAGGTGCTTCAGATTTTTGTTTTATAAATGTTACTCTATTTGCAAACCTACATTTTAATAAAAATGGTCTTTATTTTTGTCCCTTTTTGAAAAAAGTTTGTGAGCATACTAGACTGCAAAATCTGACCATCAACTCTAAATTTATAAATTACACCTTTTTTATTTTATTAATTTATTATTAAATTAGATGACATCACTTTATGATATATTTTGATTCAAATTACTGTTAACAACACACAACATTTGTGATCAAAACTCATCAAACACACATTTAATTATGAATAATACTGAAATATTCCTCAACTTTCTTTTCTTAGATATTACCAAATAGATTTCTAAATATTTAAAAAAGTGAAGATACAAGTTTCAATCACCTTTTTCACACAAAAATAAAAACCTTTCATATGCTTTCAGTATTTCATAGTTATGTATAATTTACAGCAAAATATATACATTTTAGTGTACAGTATTAAAGAAAATATAATTTTATCCTAGGAATACATTATTAGAAACATTTAATAAGAAAATAAAATTTTTGTTATCATATATAATGAAATAAAAAACAGAATTATAGTTAATTTAACAATTGAAATAAAACAAAATATTTTTACCACTAGTAATAGCAGAAGTAATAAGCTCTTTAGTTTCAACTCCTGGAGTACTCTCCACAAGATGAGAATATTTTACCTGTAAATAAAGAGGAAAAATAGATTCTATAACTGACTATGGTAAGGGAGGAGAGAGGGAAAACTGATCATATTTTAATTCAGTAGGTTTTAAATATGACTTACATTTTCAAACTGTTCTCCTTCTAGTCCAACCATTTCCTGATAAATATAAGAAAACATTAAAAAATATTATACATGTCATGGGAGGATAAAGTATTAGTAGCATAAATAAATGTGACATAGCGAACATAAATTCAATATCAATTATTAAAATAATACACTAACAAAGAAATAACCACACTTTTTTTTAATTACACAAATTAGCAGTATCCTTTGACATAAGATAATTTAATATATTTTGTTAATGTAATCTGCAATTCATTAGCAATTTTATACTAACTAGCATAAAAAAAATTCGCACATTCATGATAATTAACATGTAATAATATTAAAGTTCATTTTCTGAATGTAATGAGTAAGCTAATATGTTAAGACTGATTAGGCTAAAACAAATTGTAAATTGAATATTTTATTGGTGATCATATTTTCATTAATATTCATAAGCAATCTCTGATTAATTTTTGCCTTAAAAGAATTCACATTTTTAATAAAGTAAAAAAAAAAATATTTGATTATCAGAAATATAACTGCATTATACATTTTAATGTAATGTAATTATTATGGATTATTGCTGGTGTTATGTCATTAATTTCACATATGCACATAAATTTTATTATAAAAAGATAAAGTAAAATCAAAAGACCTTTCCCCCCCTCAAGGATGTCTAAATAAGTTCTACAATATAGTAAATGATCTGATAAGGTTACTTTGCAATCATTAAAATTATTTAATGCTGTTATATTAAACAGTAATTCAATTTCAGAAAAATTTGCCTTTCATAATTATTCATTTACTTATCATTTATCAGTTTTTTAGATATCACTGAAATTTAACTACAAAAATGATAATTCAAGATAAAATAAAAATTTAACATACATTACATTTAATTAATAAATCAAATATAATGAATTACCAGAGTTACAATATAGAAAATAAATACACATCACTTTGTTATAAAAAAGCTAGAAAAGTCATGCACACTAAATTATGATAATTACCAGCAAATCAACTAAAATATGCATCCTTTCTTCACATAACTGAGCCATACTGAGATCTTTTTCATGTAAAAGACCTATATTAATAAAAGGAAAAAAATACAACTTTACTTTCTATACCTGTCAAACATGACGTACAAGTTAAATTGTCATACATATGGTACTCAGGATTAAATATATAAATCTGAAGTGCAGAATTCATGGAAAAATGAAATATTACACTTCACAACAGAAGTTAAATTCAGCATATTACATTCATGATAAAATTAAACGATATTTACATCGCAGTAATGTTTATGAATAATGTTAATATCAAATGAAAGAGAAAAGCAAAAAAGCAATATCAGTTTGGTGTAAATTTTGAATAAAACTCTATTGATTTTGATGAAGAACGGGCGCAGGTCTCTCCTCCCCACCTCCCAAAAAAAAAAAAGAGTTTGCCAAATTTTTTCCTGATGATCTCAAAGTTGGTCAAGTTTCATTAAAAAAGTCAAAAACTGTTCTGCTATTGAAGAAGAGAAACCAGGATTTTGATTGCTCTCAAAATTTCTGAAGTTTTATTCAAAATCTAATTAATGTTGCTTTTTTGCTTAATTCTAATACTAATATCTCAGGATACAAGCTCATAAAAATCACGACATATTTCAACACAGAAGCAGTTTAGGATCATTCACAAAAATCACAGTTGCAGTATTTTGATTCTAAGACATCACTGAGACACAACTTTAATTTCAGTACCACAAAGCAAGAGATGTAGGAAACCAATAAGTGAAATAAATTGTTGATATGAACAAATATTTACATCATAATAGAATTCCATTTATTAGCACTAATGATACCTTATTACCAGTATTATTTACATCATAATAGGATTCATTTTATTAGAACTAATAATACCTTATTGCCAGTAATCATTAAACTCATCATTTCATTCTGAATTAACAAAAGAATTCGATTTTTATGAGCTATTTTGATCATCATCTGAATTAACATAAACATTCTTAATGTAATAGTTCTCAAACTAACAAAATAATAAATTTGAGAAATAACAGTAATTCTTTAAGATAAACTTTATTTTTTAGGGGTTTATATACAGGGAGAAAAGAATGGCTTTGAATTGAAGACATGCAGCAACTTTAACAATACTGGCTTAAAATTTAAATTATTACTGTTTCATGGAACTTACAGACAGAATTAAAACACATACTTGTTAATTGCTTAATACGTGCTGCTCTGGCTGCTTCTAATTTTCTTTCTTCTTCAGTTTCGCTTGGAACACCTTCATCTTATTAAATACAAACAATATATAAATTTCAAAACATTCATATGCAGGACAGTAAATAAAAACTTATTATATAATACTCACTTATTACATTATTATACATTTACATTACATTATTATAGTAGTGTAAATATGTTGCAACCCAAGTGCAACAAAAAAGGCAATGGTTTAGATATTCTGCATAAAGATATTATGGAACTAGCAGAATAAATGCAAACTGCTCCACAATTACATTTATTTTTACCAACAAAACAATTCAGTCATATCAACAATTAAAAAAATTACAGTATGCTTTTAACAACAAATTAAACTGTTCAATTAAAATTTAATAAATTTGAAAACATTAATGTTTTTATTTACTTTGACAAGAGAAAAAATGATGAATTGCAATATAATTTCAATAATTTTTAAATCCAAGAATGTTTGTAACTCATGTTCATTTTTATATTAAAATAAAAAAAAAATTATTCTCAGAAAATTCAGTATGGCAGCAAATTTTCCTCATATAATAGAAGATATTTTCACTAAATATATATAATAATATATAAATATTCCCTAAATATGTATTTATAATGGATTTGGGTTTAAAAAAGATTCATTAGAGTAATCATGTATTACTTTTTGTATTAGTATTGTTTTTAATTTCAGAAAAATAAAAGAGGGAAAATAAATATTTTTGGCATAGTGGCAAATTTTATTTTGGGATATTTCTCTTGCATGGCTTTTAAATTCCAAAACTTAGTGTACTCCTGCATTTTGAATAACATACATGCTGAAACTTTTTCCTTCAGTCCAATAAGTTCCTCTTATACTATAATATTAAGATCAAATATATCTCTCACTTCAGCAATTCTAACAGCCCTGCTGGTACATACAAACTTTCAATGTCTTGTAAATGAACATTAAAACCTTTTAGTGAATTATTTCCATTATATTTTTTGTATGATTTCTTCCTTATTATATGATACAGCTTTATATCAAAACAATCAGTTATCAATTTTATTAAAAAATTTTTTGTAATAAATGTAATATCTTTGGTTATGCCAATCAATTGCCAGTACATATTCGGCTATCGATCCCAGATAATCATTGACCCAATTTAAAATTTCATTGACACCCAGGGAATCATTACTGACCACATAGGGAACCCCTGATTTATCCCATTGTTGAATTCTTTAAACTTTTTTATTTTGCATCTCATCTGCATATTTTTTTAAAGCACACGAGTCATGAATCTCCAAATTTTTTATTTTTTTAAAATTTCAGATAAATCTATATTTTTGAGATATGCTTCACTGCCTTTTAAAATGGATTCTACGTGTGCATGCTTAATTAATTATTATACTAAATTAAATAAATTATTAGCATGTAGAAGGAATTCACTTGTCTGTAACTTTCTAGACATTTAGTTCAAACATAAATGCACTGCCAAATTCTGTAGAATTGCCACTGCTAATGGCAGCTACCACTGCATTTATCAGAGGTAGTTGCCATTACTAAATGCTGCAGTAGCTGGTGTCTACATACTATGCAATGAGGAAGTTTGTTTACATTGATGCAGTAGTGGCTTAAGGGTGTTGAGATAGGGTAACTTCCCTGGAGGCCAAATGCTGTATGAAAGTTACACCAAATAATTAAGCTGTTTCAAGAACATCAAAAAAGCGCCAAATACAGTATATATATATAAGCCAAATGCAGTATATATATAAAAGCGCCAAATACAGTAAGACCAGTCCTGCATTGATGGCAAATAAGGATAGGAGGTTATTAAAAACGTAATTTTTTCCCGAGAACAAAAACTAGAAAACATAGCAAAGGAAAGAGGATTAAAGAACAGAGAAATTTTCATCTAACAGATCCAAAATTTTGATTCTAATATTTTTTGTTAATTGCCAGTAATGTTATTTATTTATTTAACTGGTACATGTCCAAAATGTATTGGATAAATTAATATAGCAATTCATTAAGTGAAGTCTTATGCCATAGCTTTTGAGAAAATGCACTTATTTATTTTCGCTCTCATTTAAGAGTGCAAAAATGAATTTGAAAGCAAATTTTCTACCAGATACGTATACAACTTTTTTTTTTTTTTTTTTTTTTTACACATAAAAAATTCGCTAATATTTACCTCTTGCACATAATTTACATTAAAAAATTGAAACATTATTATATTACCTAATTATTTCATGATTCAGTTAGTATGTGGAGGGGGAAGGGACAAAATTTGGTGTAGAGATTAGCAAGAGGAAAATGTAAATAAAACCTTGACCTGACCCAAAATCCATAAAATTCTCTAATTTGCATACTGTTGGTCAGCATGGTGCACCGAATTCAATAGCATAAATCAGTTTGTTTAAAATAATTAAATCATAAAAATTTCTGAAGAAAAAGTAAATTTGCATTGCATTTAAAATACTATAATGTATTAAATTAATTCAAATTATATTTCAATAGTTAAAACACTAACAGTGTATTAAAATAATAAATTTAAAATTTAATTCATTCAAAACAATTATCAATTACAAAATTAAATAAAAAACTGCCAATTTTCATTATAAAAACAACTTTTCTCTTTAAGGAAAACTTACCTTCATCAGGACACATTTCAATAGCTTCTCTAATAGCATCCATCCATGCCTTTTGATCCTTTGATGTCCTACAGAAAAGTTCAATCATTTCTGGTTCACTTGGATTAGATGATATGAGATACATGCCTCTACTATCTTGCCCAGCCTTTTTACGAACTAAAAGTTTCTGGAGTGAAACTATACCCGGCTAAACAAAACAAATGATAAAAATTAACATAAAAAGTTAAACAAATTGATTATTATTTAAAGCATTCCTATATGCTAATTAATTACACAAAATTAGGTATTATTTGATATGAATGCACATTAATTTAATTTAATCTACTCTAATATAATCTATGTTCCCACAGTATATATACATACATTACAAAAAATTAATTTATTGATTAAGATATTATTATTTCATAATTTAACTAACTCATGCCATGTATATTTAGCTAGAATAATACCTTTGTCTTTTTGTTATTAATCAGATGAAATTAGCTGTATATGCTTTTAAATTCAGTTTTAATTTTTTGATAAAAATACAGTTGATAAAGGAATTAAAAGCAGATTCTTATTCAAAAACTTAACTATTAATGATTCGTCCAAAATTTCAATAAATAATAGCCTATTGTTGATTTAAAGCCTTACTAATAACATAAGCAGTTGATTAAAACATTATTTACATGTGTATGCATTACATACAATATTCTTGCAATAAAGTTAACAACAGAGGAAAAAAAAAAAAAAAGTTATTAAGAAACTGTATGAAGAAAAATTGATTTACAGGGTGATTATAATTACAGTTGCAATTTCAAAACGCTCTAATTTTAAAACTACAGGTCAGAATGACTTGATATTTTACCAGAACAATCCTAAGGTAAAGGAATTTTGTTTGGCGAAAGAAAAAAAAAATAGTTCAAAAATTTCTCAATAGATGGCACTGTCAGTGTTCACATTGCTGTTGTGGATGTACAGCCGAAAGGAAACAATAGACTCCAAGGGTTTATGACAATTTTATTAGCAAAAAGACAATGATACATTACAGAGAAAACAGCGATAGTCACCAAGAAAAGCTTCATGAAACCTTATGGATGAATTATGCATAAGTTGTTCGATATGCTCTCCTCCTTGCTCCGCTGCTACATGGGAGCGCAAAACTGCATGTTCCACAATAGATCAGAGGATATTTGTGCTGCTGTTATGAATGTGGTGTGTGATGCTTGCCTTCAAGTGGGTCAAATTCGCAATCCCCCCCACTGTAAACAACATTTTTCAGATATCTCCAAAAGCCAAAAGTCACTCGGGTTTAAGTCAGAAGAGTGTGATGGCTATGCTGTTTAAAAACGGCGGCTTATGATTTTATCATCTCCGAAATGAGCGATCATCAGTAGTTTCACGTGAGTAGCAATGTTCGGAGGAGCACCATCTTGCCTGAATATAGTGGTGCTGCTGAAGTGCCGGAAGGATATGGTTACACAAAAGTGCTTCATAACCCTTTGCCAATAACTGTGCATGTAATGGAACCTGATGACGTATGATCTCCTTGAAGAAGAACAGACTGACGACCAATGCTGCCATTATTCTGCACCACAGAGTGATCTTTTCAGAGTGAAGACGTAATGGCTGTAGTGGGAATGGATTCTCGGTCTCCCATACCCTGCAACTGTGTATTTACAGAACTTTGCAAATGGAAATGAGCTTCATCAGACTATAGAATGTTCCAAGGCCATTCATTATCCACTTCCATCTGGGCAAGAAATTTTAGTGCAAACGATTCACGTGTTTCCAGGTCAGCAGGATTAACTTTATCTATTATTTTCCGCAAGCCATATGTGGTCATTGGGCTGGATTTTATACCTTCTAATGTCCGGAACTTCTTGATAATTGTTAACGCACAGTCACCATTCTGATAGGAAAGCTTTACAAGAAAAGCACGATCCTTCTTTGTTAAGAGTCATGATGAAGCACTCGGGCAGAATGTGTGTTGTTAGTGCTCTGCATTTTTATCTTAGCCATGTCTGCAGTGCGCATGTTACATCTTAGTAATTTGCATACCAACAGCAATTTAGTAATTTGAACCTTGACAGCGCCATCTATCAGTGTATTTTGAAACTATTTTTTCCTTCACCAAACAAAATTCCATTGCCTCCTGATTGTTCTAGTAAAATATCAAGTCATTCTGACAAGTAGTTTTAAAGTTAGAGCGTTTTGAAATCACAACTTTAATTATAATCACACTGTATAATATGCATTAATATCAAAGCTTGTCTTCTGATTCTCAGTTATTTGTCTGTGCCTACATCAGTTTTGTTATATATGAAACAAAGTTCTATATTGCATAAACAGGAATATCTCAAATTTAGAAAATAATTTGTTCCTTGATGTAATTTGTAGCAAGAAAGCATATAAATTTATGTATAATTATTAAAACTTTGCTTTGGAGATGCCATTGTGACGGAAATGGTGTGTTACTAGATAATCACATTACATATGTAGGAAATTTTCAACAACTAAAACAAGGAAAAAAATCTTCTAAATTATTTAACCTTTTTAGAAGTTACACATGAATTAATGTATTCTGCATGTGTAAATACATTCCACATCTCGAACTTGAATTAATTCATTACATAAACCAACTGCATATTAATGCATTTTTAATACATTTTAACTTAGAACTGTCTCCAACACTAGTTCATGGAAGTAATGTTTAGCAATGAAATTGTTTTGTGAAATTATTCAGTTTAAATACACGAGTGTTCACGAGTCATCTGCATACTTACAAAGCAAAAAATAAAGAAACAAAATATAAGAGTTAAAAATAATAATAATAAAAAATTGCTTATCTAGAATTGCATGTATCACTTAAAAAAATGGTGAATGTTTTATATAAACAATAAGTACATTCACAGAGTACTACTGAACAAGTTACTGTTGCAGTAGTTATTATGGAATAAAAAGGAAAGCATCGGAGCTCAGCAATATGTACAGTCAATGCATTCAGGTAATGAGCTTTTCACTATTATATTAAACAAAAAGTTACAAAAAATATTAACTTTACTGATACAGCATCTCTAAAAGAATTAATTAATATAATAACAAAGCAAGTATATATGATTAATGTTTTGAACTATTTATTACTATTTTTGCTTTATAATTAACCTAACAATTTTCAAAGCTTTATAATACAATAATTTTAAGCCCAATTTTTGACCAAAATTCCTAAATTATTTCATTTCACACATTCAAATGATATATTAAAAATTAGGAATATCATTAAATTTACCTTATTTTCTAAAGATGCAAAGCATAATTTCTGGTTATTTTCATGCAAAAATAATATTAAGTCCGACAGCATAACAGCAAGGACATCTGAAAGTAAAATTTAATATTTATGTTATACAAAAAAATATTTCTCAATAGCTAAGTTTTTTTTTTTTTTTTTTAAATATCAGCATTTCCACTTAGCAAATCTCTACCAAAATGTAGCTATTCATTTTATTAGCCATACATACTATGCAGATATAGGAAATGCTATACGCCACTTACAAATACATATAATTAGCACATTAAGCCCCTTTTTCAGATAGATGTTTTAATACAACATGAAAATATATTATTGTAAAATATTCTTTTCTAAATTAAAGTCTTCTATAGTAGTTATACGAGGGCCATCCAGGAAGTAGATTACGTTTCCGTCTGTGTCCGCTAGGGGCGGGGCTAGCGCGGCCATCTTGGGGTCAGAGCGTTGCGCAGCTCAGTCTGCATCTAGCCGTGCTAGTGAGAGGTTCGTGCTGTGCTCCGTTCAGATACTGTGACGGTTTGAAATGTCTGCGTTAATTGAAAATCCCGCAAGCTGCGAGGTGCGCTCAGTAATAAGGTTTCTGACTGCAAAAAACTGTAAACCGATAGAAATCTATCGGCAGCTTCGTGAAGTGTATGGGGACAACATTATCATCACTGAAGGTGGAGTGCGTCAGTGGGTCATAAGATTTCAAAATGGCCGAACCAATGTTCACGACGAAGAAGATCGAAGTGGGAGACCCAGCATAGTGACCGCCGAACTTCTCGAAAAAGTCAATGCTAAAGTCCGTGAAAATCGAAATTTCACAATAACGGAAACTTTCTTTGAGTTTTCCACAAATTTCGCGAAGTTTGTTGCACGAAATCATCAGCGAAAAGCTTGGTTACCACAAGTTTTGTGCAAGATGGAAGGCAAGAAGAGGTAACGAAGTGGTTGAAGGCGCAGGCGGCCGAATTTTTCGACGAAGGAATTTCCAAGCTCGTACATCGCTACGATAAATGCCTTAATTTGTATGGTGACTATGTAGAAAAGTAGTATTTGAGTGTGGCTTTCATCTGTATATAATAAAATTTGTTTCCTATACTTTGTTTATTTTTTTATTCCAAAACGTAATCTACTTTCTGGATAGCCCTCGTATTATAAATAAAAATATCTGAATTATACAGGGTTGTTCATAATTCTTTAAAGCATTTAAAAAAATCATAACAAATATACAAATATATGACTATACCAAATTTTATTACATTGAAACAAACTTTTTTTCTTTTCTTTTTTTTTTTATATTTCACAAATGCTAAACTTATCTACCTTTGCTGATATGCTAGATACCTATTTGATTAACCATTTCATCCCACATAAATGCCAATGCATCACAACTCACCACAGTCGCATCAGTGAAATACTTGCGCATAATGGAGATTAACTGGGAGTAGAGACACAAAAACAACATCCTTGATGCCCCCAAAAGCTCACACAGGATAAAATCTGAAGATTGGTGTGGTGGCTGAATTAATGCATCATCTCCCCATCCTGTGCATCGGATACACTTTAGGGCTATTTCTTGAAATTTCTGTCAATCTTTGTAGCAAATTTTGACTGAGACACTCTGACAAGCAGTCTCTGGACATATATTAAGACAGATAACTGTGTTGTTGAAAGAGATAATCATAAGTTATTGGAGGAGTTGGAGCATCAAAATCAGCACAATATTTACAAATTTGCAGGACTAGTTTTGAAGGTTTAAATATACAGCCTTCTTCTCCAGCTGCAGAAATGTAAATGAAAGACAAGCCAGTGATAATATAAGACGATAAGAATGACAGGAAGGAAGTCTGGCTGCTGCTACCATCTACTTATGAAAAAAGAAAAAAATTATGAAATAATTTTCCTATTGCTTTAATTCATTATTCAGTGTGTTATTTTAATTGAACAATATAATCATCAATGTTTTCTTTCAACTGTGGCATCAGATGACAATATGCTCAAGTAAATCTTTTCAATGACTAATACATAGCTGCCATATCAGCGAAATGCTTGTGAAATATATTTAAAAAATTAACGAGTTTACTTCTATTTCAGTATAATAAAATTTAATATCAGTTGCATAGCCTACTTGCTAAAAATTTTTGAAATGTTTCATAAAGCCTTTGGAGAATTTGCTAAGTTTCTGACATTCAAAATTACTCAAAAATTATAAAATTAAAAAAAAATATTAAATTAGAAAGTTATTAAAATTTCACATATGCATTTTTTATTTTATTATTCAATGCACTATTCAAAATTCACATTATTCACACTACTATTCAAAATATACATAAAGATTTTTTGCTAGGCAATGCAAAAATTATTAATCTGTCAGTATAATTCTATAGCCAATATACATAGCAAATAATATTAAAAATATATTTTAATCATATGCAGAAATCATAAAAATTAACACATACACACATAACAATACGAAAAGACAAAGCATACAGCTAGCGAGGCTCTTGCCACAGATAAAAAATGAATAGCAGGAAAAAATAAGTACATGTAGGAGTATCAATAAAAAAAATATGCAAATTTTTCAACTCACTACAGATGTTAAAAATCTATCTGCACTGCTTTACATTATTTTTAAATCATACATTAAAACTTCTAAAAAAAACTTTGTTACTGATATTTGTAACAAAGCAGAAAGACAAATGGAATTTTTAATTATCCAAGAGAAAAGTGTATCACATGCGTCATGTCAGAAAATTAGTATTACCTTCCAAAACAAATTTCTAAGGCACGAATTACATGTAAGAGAAATATACATTTTTATACATGCATATATAAAGTAATAGTATAAATTGCTCTCAAAACTTTTCGACTATATATGCTATTTAGGTTTTATTAAAATATTAAATATTGGATACAGTCAGCACTGCAACTATAAATGCCTTTTGTAGAAAATTTTCTTGAAGCTTTTTCACTGTCTTTAGTAACACTGTATAAACAACAATGTGAAATCTGACCATGCTCATTATATATGGCTAAGATAAAACCTCTGGATGGATTACAGTCTTACACATACAGACACACAATGAAAATGTAGACCAATTTTACTTTAAAAAAAATTTCCTAGTTTTATCATTAAATACATCAAGTATTCTTACTTATTTTTAGCGATAAAAATGTATCTTATGTCTAATTAATTCATACAGAATGCAGATTTTATAATAGTTAAGGAATTAATTTATTAATTGGATCAATATTCACAAAATGTATATAATATTTCACCTTTCTAAAAAGTAGGTAACATCATGCCTAAAATATATTGACAATTGAAAGGAGAGTACAAGATTACAAATGATTAGAGTTTATAAAATGTAAAACATTTCATGAAAAAAAGGCTATGTATGAAATTCAGAAAATATTAAGATAATATACTGCAATACTAATTAAAAACCCAAATTCATATATAAATAAAAATGAAACACACCAATAGTCTTTCCTCTTGGACTCCTCCATGTCATCGGACCTTCCTTCCTTAATTTACGATTGCAAGCTAATAAGTCAGATTTCTGCATGAAGAAAACTTCACATAAGTATATCTAAGAATAATTCAAATAAAAATCATAAATATACACATACAACAGACAGTAAATGCACACATATTACATAAAAATACCTTAAATTTTTTCCCTCTGTATATAATAGTAGCTTTAGAATCCATCCTGTTATAGATTTCAAGCAATTTTAATTCCTTTTCCTTTTCTGCAACTTGCACATCAACACTAGATATAATATCCTGAAAATTCAAAATTAATTTATGTTACAAAAATAAAGTATAGATTTTAATAAAAAGACATAAATGAAGAGAAAATACATTTTAATCAAATAAGCAAGCCTAAAGATGAATGACATCAAAATAGTACAGGAATAAAAATAAGATTTATCAAATAAAGTAAGCAGTTTTACACTTTAAAAAAAAATTAATTAACACCCACAAACTGGTGAATTCTGACAAAAATATATTTTTTCTTTATGAAATTACAAAGCAATTTTCTAAAATTCTGATTAAGACAGAACTCTTCCAGCATAATAATTAGCAATATACAATGGCTTCCAAAAATTGAGCACAAATGATAAAATCAATAAAAATTGAAAAGTAAAGCTTTGATTAACTCTATGTTGCACATGAAGGTAGCAAATGTGTTATGCATGAAAGAAAACAAGCTTTATGTACAAAGATAAAAGCAATACTTAATTTTCATAAATTATATGATGACATCACATCTGAGTCAGTAACAAATTGTAAAGCTAAAAACAAATAAACAAACTTATATTAATAAGGTATGTGATTTACCCGACCTTCATACAGACTTCAGGGGTAATAAACCATCATAGATGCTATTAATGACAATTTCTCCACTAGTGTAGTTTCCAAATATCTGAAATTGGCTAAAGGCAGAAAATGTGCAGGGACAGCACACCTGAGAGAATGCCAAAGATTTTCAGTGACATTAATGTCACACAAATATGATACCCCCCCCACACACACACACAAAAAACTCCCATTCTCAAGGTACTCGTTAATGAAGTTGGCTTGATATGAATGGGCATTACCATCCATATGGAGGAAATAAGGACCAACTGAAGCTGTGTAGTCTCACAATGGTGTACAGGACTTAATAGTGCGCAGCTATCATAAAACTGTCTTTTAATATGGCAGCTGAGAGCAACATTCCATAGAAATTTCAACCCACCCAATGATGCAGACATCTTTGGATGCGTGATGTTCAATGATGTTCTTTGTCTGATTCTGCGTGCCTCTTTCTCTCTAGTCCCTTGCACACTTGTCATCTGATTTCACAAGAAATTTGGACTTGTCCGTGAACAAGATGCTTTAACAGTCCAAATAAAATGCAGATGACACCATTCTGAACTTGCTGCTCTGGATTGGGCAGTTAGTAGATCACAGACACTTTATACTTAGGCATACTGTCTTTTCATGTGAAGTACTTCCCAGTATGCAGTCCACAATACTTTCAGATCCAATGATGCTACAATCATGGCTGTAATAATTGTAGACCTCATTCATTGATTCAGATTGGCTTCTATAGCGACATACTGATCCTCAGAAAGGGTGGTAACTCTTAATCGACCCGGCATAGGTCTCCAAATAACTGCTTGACTTGTTTGGGATTGTTTCCACATTCAAGAAATTACAGAATGATAAATGGCAAAGGAAAGAATGACATTTTTAATTGACAGTCTTACTTCAAAGTGTACAACAGAATGCCAGTACACATTATCAGCCATTTGTTTTTTTTTTCCAGCCACAGAAACATGAATATTATCAAAACTTATCTTATGAAAGATATATAACTTCATATCAGCATTTAAACAAACCTCAAATTGTTCAGAAGGATCATCTTCAAGGACTGCATAATTAGCACTTGGGATAGTCAATCATGATCGGCTTTAATATATGATATTTGGATACCGCCATCACATGTGCAGCAATTTTAAGCCACTCAAATTCAACTATACTTTCGAAAAAGGCTAATTTGCATAGCATGCTTAACTTTTGGAAATCAATATCAATCTAAAAATTAATATCATATACAGAAAAAAAAGAGAAAGGTATATCTTGAAATATATCAAGGATAATGGAAAGAAATACTTTCACGAAAAAATGAATTGGAATTGTAAAATTCAATCACTATGTTCTACTGTACCTAAAATATTAACTTATGAACTCACATCATTGCAAGAATTAACTTTCATAATAAGTTGTAAAAAAAAAAGATCATTACATTTTAATCTCAGATTCAGAACAGTACAAATGGAAATTAGATGACCCAAAGCACCATAATTATATTGTACAATATTTCTTTATATCAGAAATGAATGCAGAATCTTCTTGAAACATATCACTTTAATATTCAATTGCTTACAAATAAACATTATTATATTATATTAAGTATAATATAATCATATTTGAGATTGAAAGATTGATCATTAGACAACAAAGGGAAAATTGGTTTGGAAAATTTCAAGACAGTCACAAAATTTAATTTCAGGTTTTTGCAGATGATCTCTCAAAAATTTCTGGTTGCTAATTAATTACAAAAATTGAAAATTTAAAACATAATATGAACCACTAACTTAATTATTAATAAAGATTTAAAATATATTTTCAACATACTCTTGGTAGGGATAACCAGATGTATACATTTCCAAAAGAACCACAAGTTATGTATACAATCATTAATAACATTTAAAAAACAAAATGCAGATATGCTATGATTCCTACATTTCAAAACTTCAGACATTTTTAAAACCGGATATAGAAAATATTTAATATCACCAATAAGATTTTTTTAACACGGACTATTTAATTAAGACAGTATAAACAAGGGCTACCTTCTTAGCTCCATTCTAGTTTCAGTCAAAAGTTATTCTATTGGAACCTGAAAGTTTCGAAACCCTTTTTTTCTACTTCTAATTGATAAGTGTTATGCATTCTCATTTCACAAAGACACTGCACTTAAAAATGTCTATGCTTTATCTAGGATCTAAATGCATCAATATGCAGCCAATTTCTTCCCATCGCCTGACATTAACAAAAATGGTTCTTTTTGCTGTAGAAATTAATATACAGACTTTTGCATTAAATAATAAGCAAAAATTTAATGTTATACAAAAAATATTTCTATACTAAGAAAATTTTATATGAAAATTTCTCTCTTTGTCGCAAATTGACTTCAAAAACAACTAATTAAGACAGATTTCATTTTCAATTTCCAATAGGAAATTTATTTGAAAGTAACTTGCTTTATCTGGAAGAAATATTAATTATGACAATTATGTATTTTAAAGCCAAAATATGTAGTTTTTCAAAAGACAGTAATTCCTTTTCTATATCAAATATCTTATTCCTAATTTTGATATTCAGTACCTAAGCTAACACATTTGATTGAAAATCTGTAAATGATATAGTTAACACATTTCTCACATAATCAAATTAACATTATTAACCTAAATGAAAGAATTACTATACCTTAAGATAATTACATATTTTTTCTAACGAGAGCTGCTCTTCTTTATTATCTGAAAAAAATTATATAGAATATATCTTATGTAATATGCACAATCAGTGTCAACATCATTAATATATGTTATAAATTTTTTCTTACCTTTAGCTGCCTTCATCAATGATTCAATTACTAAAATATATTTTGTTATTCTTTGTGTGACTAGAAGCAAACATTCTGGAATCCCTCTTGTTTTACAAAGTCTCTTAGATTTACATTTCTAGAGGGAAAATTATAAACTTAAATTCCAGCATAAATTAAAATTATAATAAAAAAAATTAAGATGAATTTTTAAGCAGACTGTGATTTTGCATTGACACTGTGCAAAGATTGTTAACAGATAAATTTAAAAGTATGAAGAAAAAATTGTTACACTCTAACTAGCTAAGCAAAATATTCAGCACACCAAAAAGCTATTTCTTCATATTAAATACAACAAATTCAATTAGATCATAGACCTCTGCTAAAAATGTTAGAAAAAAAAAATCAAGTCATGTAAATAATATCTGCAATAATTGAACCTGGCTGGCTGTTAGAAAAGGCATATTTTTTAGGGAAGAAGTATATGGACATGACATTATCTAAGACACTGCATTTCTTATTGTAGTGAAAACAAAATTAAAATCATCTTTCCATCATTTTACATATCAGATTTTATGCATATGGAATAGTTTAAGTTAAGGAGTTTGGATTCTTTTAATCAGGAACAGATCTCTATCATGCCCCAACCATTTTACTAGTCAGATTTCTCATACATTCATTCCACTCTTATCAAAAAGGTTTGGATGTATCAATATTTACAAGGATAATTTAAGTTATCCAAAATGACACAAAGACCAAAATGGCAGATACCAAAAAAGGCATACTATCAATGCTTTCAGGAACGTTAACAACCAAAAGCAGTGTGTCCATATTCTAATTTATGCTACTTTGAAGGTGACCAGGTTTATAATGTTTTAAATTTCAAACAGAATGCACACTTCACGAATATAAGTTAACTCATGATTTAATTATTTCCGAAAAAATGTTTAAAAAAATAAAATGAAAACTTCCAATTTCTCATTTACATATTTTTCACAGAACTTACTTTGATGAAATTCTGAAATTTTCTGTCAGATTTCAGCATTTCTTTATATAAATTAAGAGATTCCATATGTTGACTACAAAACTGACCATAGGCTATTTTCATTTGCTCAGCTTTCTGGTCATGAAACTAGGGGGTGAAAAAAATAATCAATATTCATTGTTAATGGGAAGGAAAAGCTTCATTAAGAGCAAAAAAAAAAAAAAAAAGATAAAACTGTCAAATGCGTAACAAAATTTATTAAAAACATAAAATACCTGATCTTCTAAAATGTCTGCAATATTCTCTATTACAGGACCTTCATTTTGTCTCTCCCTCAGCTTACTAAGAAATGTTCTATGCAGTTCAAGAAGCTCTCCCAGACATGGAAATAATTTTTCAACTAACTCTCGTGGAGCATTTAATTCTTTCATCATACCCTGAGAATATACCTGTGAAAGGTGAAAAAAAGATGAAATGAGGTATGACAATTGAATTATTATTTTAAACATAATTAAACATACAACTGAGCTCTTACATTTAATATATGCCTAGGAATATCAATACTTACTTTATATTTCACACACTTTAATGTAATAAATTTGCCCCCCCCCCAAAAAAAAAGGTGCAAGACATGAAAACTCCAAAATTTCATAAAATGTTTAAAGTTTTTTTTAACCTACATTGCCACTTATTTCACTATTCAGCACCAGAGTTAGGCTGTCCAATCATGCATATAATGGTACTTAACAGAGCCTGATTATCAGTCGAATGGCATCTGCAAAAGCCCAGATTTTAGATGCCACGGAAATCTTCCTTTAATTCCTTATAAAAAATCAAGGAAAACATGCACTTGACCATGAACAAAGACTAGGCCTAAGGTTTTACACCATTTTAATTGGGCCTCAAACTTGCAAGTTCATGGATCAAAGTTAAAAAGTATTAAATGAGTGAAATATTCAATAATATGCATATTCCTGAATTTCATGCTAAAAATACAGATAAGTTTACATCCGATAAACGAAACTATGCAAATAAATATGTTAATTATTATGCATCTAGACAGTTAAGCTAATACCTACTTTTGTCATTTGATTAAATTATATCTTATATATTAAATAAAATTAAATCTAAAAAAAAAAAAAAAGAATTTTGATTTTGAAAGAAAGCAGTTATTTCTTCATTTTTTTTTTTTTTTTTTTTTTGAATCTAAGAAGATATAACTATGAAAGTATTAAGAAATTAGAAATGTAGAAAGTTCAATTTATAAAAAATGTAAAAGAACTGACAAGTTCAAAATTAGTGCCTAGTGCTGCTTAGTTTTTAAATGAATTTAAAAGGTTACGATTTAAATACCTAGTAAAAGCCGTAAGAATGTTTGGACTCTACCTATCTCTGTTTTCGAAATACATCACAAAAGAATTTTTTTTTATATAATACACAAAATGTAAACAATTAACTTTAGAACCGAAATTGCTAAATACATTAAAATGGCAACCTAGGAGCATCAAAAACATAGGTTAATCTCTTTTATTCAGAGCTTCAAACAGAACTTGTCAAGGGAAAAATATAAAAAAGTATGATACTTTTTGGAGGGCGGGGGAACAGCATATAGAGAGGACTGCAATCTAAATGTTACTACAAAATTTCATCATTATCATTAGAGGGTTTTTTTTTTTTTTTTTTTTTTTTTTTTATGTAGACAATATAAAAGAGCTAGAATCAGAAATTTTGCAGCTGTCTTATCATATGGATTAGAATGCTCATTTACTAGTCACAGGATAAAATAACATTTGTTTCAAGCCATTCTTAAGAAAGCAGATAAAATGCTTTTTAAACGATTTTCTTTGTTTACTTTCATAAAATCAAAGATAAGTTAGACTTCTTGCACATCACTTACTAGCAACAACTTGCAATATTTATGAAAAATGGAGAAAAATTTCCACATGAAAACAATAACACTCTTTCAAGGTGCTAGAAAATTCCCGATCAGATCAAGTAAAAATTTGATTTATCATCTGATCCTTAATTTTATAATTTCAACACTTTACGATTGTATTTTTTTATCATTAAGAGAAAAAAGTTATCAAAAACGGAAATTTCTCGTCAGAATTAAATCTCAAAACAAAGCTGTGAAGACTACTTAACAATCATATTTTATATTTTTCTTTACTTTTATTTTAAACAGCATTCAAACTACTGCACTGCACAGTGCTAAATTAACAAATTTTCATAATAATAATAATAAAAAAAGTGTTATAACTGAAAAAATTTCTGATCAACTAAAAAAGCAATGCAAATCAACTGCTGATAATATAATAACTAATTACTGCATAATTTTGACATATTTACCTTTTGCATTATCTGAAGAGTGAGGCAGTGGTGTTTCTCTGTTATAATTAGTTCTGAAAATAATAAGGGATGCAATGCATTAGAAAGCACAAAAACTTGTCTTGTTAATTTTTCATGCTCCATATAATGAAAAATCTAGTAATACACAGCATTCAATGTTTACATATCCAGAACATTAATGTTTCATAATTAGAAGGCAAACTATATACTGACAATCAGTAAGTTAAACTTCTATCAGTCTATTCATTATATATTATTTCTGAAATTTGAATTCTGTGTCAGTATAAAAGGATCAATGCTCAAGGACATAAAGCAATGAATATTTCTTTGAAAAACTGAATATACCTGGCAAGAAAAAATTGGACCGATGAGTTATGATGGTCACTTGAATGTGATGAAAGATGCTTTTGCTTTTTACAGAAAAATGTGGAAGTTTAATTTGTTCGGAAGTGATATCACCTATATTTTTTCTTATATATATATATGTAAAAATTAATGAATCAAAATTATAGTTTAAACTATAAACATTAATTCTTCCTTTCTATTCTGAAATCGTAATAACTTCTCTGCATTGTGTCATTTCTAGATCATTCTATGACCCACGCAGCTCTGATGACATAATAATTAAGAACTGAAACTGCCATTGTAAACCAAAACTTTTCTCTTCGCCGTGCTTCCATCTTTCATAACTACTCACTTCAGCTTTTGCTTTCTAGTGTGCTAACATGTAATTTCACTGGCTTGCTTTCTATTTCAACAATATAAAAAATGTAGATCTGTGGAAAGGCACGACTAGAGTGCCAAGTGATTGTGCCACAAATATCAATTTGGAAATAATGCCTCGACTGTTAAGTTTTATCAAAATTCGTCTTCAATATGGATCTAACCACGCATCGACAGTGTTCCGTCATTTCCTTGTGCTTTTAATATGACAATTAAGCCGGTAGGATAGTTTCCTGCAGCCTGAAACCTCAATGGAAAATTTAGTTCAGCTCTTCAAATAATCGTTTTGTGATAAATCCAAGATAATGTGAAAGAAGTGACTCATCAAATTAGTTTTTTCAGTGTTTTTAAAAATAAAAGATCATTTCTTCTGCTTGTGGTGTTTGCAAGTGCTTCAAAAAAAATAATCACGTGTAGTGTTACAGATGAAGTACTTCTCAATAAATTGAGAAGTTCGAATGCCTAGTGAAAAGGAAATCATCAGTGAATTACTGTTTAGGAATTAAGCATTACAGCGGGTTTAAGGTCGATCTGAGTCAGTGTTTGCAAGTATGTGCGACGGAAAATTATTTGCACTTCCGCTTTTTCAACAGCTCAAAAATTGTTACATTCGTGTGAATCTAACTCAGGAACTAAATCATTTAATATGCTGTGAATTCTATAGTTTTCATTTCAACTTTGGTTAAAATTTCTGCAATTTGTTTTGAGAAAATCTGAAATTCTTGTTCATTAATTTTTCATAATTATGTGTGAGCAAATTAAGTAACGAATTTTAAGCTATTTAAATTATTTATAGGGAAGGATATTAAGATAAGTTTCTATGTTTTTGAAATTTTGTTGAGAATTTTGAATACAAATTTTATAATTATTCTAAAAATGAAGTTTAAAAAATAAAGTGAAATTATTACAGATACGTAATATGAAATTATGGTAAATGCATGTTAAATTTATGGGTGATTGTATGTTAAGTATAGTGTATGTCAAGGGAGTACTGGGTTCCTAAGCAGAGACCTGTAATTACCTCTGTACAGTTGTTCTCTTCAAGTAAGATAATGTTGAAGGCTCTCATTTTATGAGTGTGTGTAATTATTTTATATTATTATTATTATATTTTTTTTATTATGGAATGTATTAGTGTAGTTCTCAAAGGCCAGTTACCTTAATGCTAGGAACGGAGGCCTTTTCAAGTAAACTACCTAGGCACCCTGGGCCATCAGTGCATAGAACACACTGGTTAGCTCAAGAGGACAGCCCTATTGATGGATATGTTTGTTTAGTATTGCGAGGCTTTCCAGTTTGGTAAAATAAGGAATTGTAAATGAAAGATAATAACGGTGAAACCATAATTTCTGAAACTGTTACTCCTAATATATTTATGCTGCTAAAATATAATTTATCAGTATGGAAATTAGTATCATAAATATTTATGTGCATTACATTTAATTATAAGTAATGATTATATAAAAGTTTTATTTTGTGATATTCTGTGATAACAAGAACCTTCCCTGAAGGATTATGATTATGTGAACACTCAAACAAAAAGACTTTTGGACTGAAATTCTGAAAAATTCAATAGGACTCTAAAAATTAAAAATTTATTTTAAAAAATTTATATTTATAAATTATACTTTACAGGACAAACATTTAATGATTTATTTTATTTTTTTTTTTTTTTTTTTTTTTTACATTTGCTAGTGCTTTAACTCTTTCTCTTTAAAAAGGCTTTCTGTCGCTATGCCTTTTTCTTTTTGAAGGGGGGGGGATATGTAAAAATATATGAATCAAAATTATAGTTTAAACTATAAACATTAATTCTTCCTCTCTATTCTAAAATCGTAATAACTTCTCTGCATTGCAACATTTCTAGATCATTCTACGTCCCGCGCAGCTCTGATGACGTAATAATTAAGAACTGAAACTGCCATTGTAAACCAAAACTTTTCTCTTCGTGCTTCCATCTTTCATAAATACTCACTTCAGCTTTTGCTTTCTGCTGTGCTAACATGTAATTTCACTGGCTTGCTTTCTATTTCAACAATATCAAAAATGTAAATCTTCTGTGGAAAGGCACGACTAGAGTGCCAAGTGATTGTGCCACAAATATTAATTTGGAAATAAAAATGGAATTAAAACTGCCTCGACTGTTAAGTTTTATCAAAATTCGTCTTCAATATGGATCTAACCACGCATCGACAGTGTTCCGTCATTTCCTTGTGCTTTTAATATGACATATATATATATATATATATTTACCATTTTTTTATCATACAGCAGACTTGTGCCAGCTAGGAGGATCAGGACTGTGCCCTTATAATAATAATCACCTATATCAGACATGCTGTGGGTTCTAGATTTAAATCAAATTATCAGATAATATCATGTGAAAAATGAGTAAGATCTGATGATTTGAGTTCAACCTCCCCAATATGAAACTGACATTTGACTGAGAAAAAGTTGCACGGCTGTTTAGCAGCAATATCCTAAAGACAGAGAAAAAAAACTAATTCCTAACTTCCAATTGTGGATTTACTATTGGTTCAAAAGTTTCGGCACTCAGTAAGCAAGCAACATTTTATAGGTTCAATTCTAGCTGATGAAGTTGGAATTTCAAATCAAGAGCTGGCTCGAAAACAATGATAAAAATGAAGTATCTTTTTCAGACAGAAGAATTATATCACACTAAACGATCATTAGAAGTACTCAGATAAGAAAACAGCAGTTTTTTTTGGAGGGTTGTATTGTTTTTGTAATTTTTCATACTACAAAGTATGTGATACTGAAGCATAAATTAAATAAAAAAAAATATATACCTTGCTTTGAAAAACAGATTATTTTAAAATTTTCAACAAAAAGTATAACTACTGAAATAATCTCATTTAATTGAAAAAAGAATAAAAATTAAGAAACATGACAGTTGCATTTCCCTCATTAACAATAAAACTTGTTTTTCATCTTATTTATCAAAATTAAGGACATTATATTTAAAACCATAGTAAATTCTTTAATACAATTAAATTTTCAGGAGTTTGATAAACTTTCTGTGTTACTATTGACTTTTACATAAGAATATTAATATCTTTTAGTTTTAAAATGTTCGGCAATGCAATATAACTGAAAAATGGAACTTAAGAGCAATTAAACAGATAACAATTCATACCATGAATAGCTTCTTGTCTCTTAATTTCTCTTTCTTTTAATTTTTTTAGAACCTGTAATTCAAAAAGAGAAATTAAACAAATGCCCAGTATAAAAACTATATTTTGCATAACAAAATAATCTCTGATAAACAAAAATTATTTGTAATGTATACCTTCTTGTCTACTGTAGCATTCCATGTCTCTGGTTCGTCATCAATTAACCTTAGCACTTGGTTATCTTCTAAATCACTAATTTCAACAGCACCTAGTATATCATCATGAAAAACAAATAAATCAATACCAAACTATTAATAAAAGGGTGCAATGTTATCACGCATAAATGCTTACAATTGTTCTTCTAAATCAGAGTTTCTTAAACTGTAGGTTGCCAAAAATTTAGTAATTTTGATATTTCTTTAACTTATTATAATAATTTTATAATCACCAAATATTTTTACATAATGTATCTGAAAATAGATAAAGACAATACAGAACAAAAAAAAAAAAAGTTTCGACATATTTTTTTTATAATAGAAATGTCCATTTTACTTTAAAAATTAAAGTCAATGATCTAAAACTGCAATAGTATATTACAGTACAAGTGAAGAAGCTGATAGTTTCACTGATGCATGTGGATTTGCACAATGCTTATGGGGGTTCCACAAAATGTTTGTAAATATTAAGGAGTCCCCAAACCAAAACGTTTAAGAAACCCTAATCTAACTTAAATAATGTTCACTCATACATGACAGAACAGTCATTAAATGTATAACAGAAGTCAGTAAATAAAACTGGCTAATCAAAATAAAGAACTTGCCTTCATCTAATGATTCCATTGAGTTTGAATTAATTTCAGTCATGCTAAAAATAGAAACAACAAAATTACTTCTCACACAATATGCTAATTTTTTTTCATTTAAAAAGGTTTCAATATTGTAACTAATATTTAAATTAAATTTTTCCTGGTCATTTTAAATCATTTATAAATTTCATATCTATTTTTACACCTTGCAATGAACAATGCTTCTCTCATTGATAATTTAGATATTTCTTGGCCCAAGTGTGATCACAACAAAATTTGCTGCAACAAATAGTTTATGCCATAAAATTGCTTAGCGAAATAAATATATTTATTAAGAATTTAATACATCTCTCTACAGGTTTTTTTCCTTTATTTGCACACTTCAGAATCTAGAATTATGATACCTTTTCAGCAAGTGAAAAAAAAAAGTTATCACACTTTTACACTGCATATTTAAGTAGTATGTACATGCAACCATAGTGTTTTATTCAGATTTTACTGTCCACAGCTTCACTTTTTACCTTTTTTGTTCCTGCTTGTGGAAGAAAAAAATTAAAAATTAAGTCAGAAAATTGACCGACAATCTAAAAACTTAACATATTCAAACACATACTCTTGGACATACATTCAAATGATGGAAAATGCATAACCAATGAATCAACACAACAGATCTTGAACATACCAAGAAACACATGCTCCCAAACCCATAAAAAATAACTGCTTGTTCACTATGACAATTTGGACCATTTACATAGTAGCATTGTTGACATCATTATGTACATTTGTTAGTTTGGTACATTTATCTTTACCATGTTGGCAAGACTAAGTTTTCTTCTGCCGAGCTATGGATGTCATTGTAATGTTGAGCACGTGTTGTTAAGTTTCAATAAAAAATGTGAAAAGATAGTTTCTTATTTTTCGACTTGCTTCTTGATATTATAAGTAGTATGTACATGCAACCTTGATATTATGATGATTCTTGATATTATAAAGGTTTACTTAACATGGTAGCAGAGTGTGGTTTGTGAATATGAATGAAGAATTTAGTATTTATAATTTGTTTTAAAAGTTACGGGTACTAGCATAAAAATGGCATGTACAAGAAGCAAAGATATCGGTATACCGCTTTTTGATGTCTCGGACTATTTTAATTGGAAAGTGCGTATGATGAAATTTCTTCAATTTAAAAAATGTAAAGATGTGATTCAGTGAAGAAAACGATGACATGGAAAAATGGGAAGAAAAAGATATCCAAGCTACAAAATACATTTACGGCACCATAACAAACAAGCAATTAGAATATATTCACGAGTGTGAGACTACATTTGATATAATTACGAAATTTGATGCAATGTATTTAAAAACTTCAACATCTCTACAAATTGTTTGTCGAAATAACTTAGAATGTGTAAAACATGTGAATGTGTAAAACTTCTCAAAGTCATAAAAAAATGATCTTGATGTAAATATATTTTTCGATGATTTTGAGAAGTATGTGAATGAAGCTGAAACATGCCGGCGCCACCATGACGGAACATGAAAAAAATTGAACTATATGCTAATAGACATTATACCTTCAAATTACAGTCACATTGGTGACTTAATAGATGTATTACCAGAGAAGGACAGAAGAGTGGATTACCTAAAGAGCAAAATCAAATCAATTACTTGAAGAGAAAAATAATTATGAAGATTGTGCAGCAGCAGAAAAATCAAATGCATTCAAAATTGAAACAAGCAAATCGGGTACACAAGGGAATGTCTGTTATAATTGTGAAAAACCTGGTCACATTAAAAAGAATTGTTGGCATGTCCATCAAGGGAACTATCATGGTAATGGCTCCACTAATTATCGTGGTCGAAATGCTTCAAACAATCACAGTCATTTTAGTAGACATCGTGGACGAGGAGAACACTCTAGCCACAAAATAAACAGTCATCAAGGAAATAGTTTTCACACCACTGTTATCGGTCATGTAACATGTCAAGTAACATGTCAAGTTCCAGTGCAAATACTGTGATGAATAAAAATGAAATCAATTGGTTACTGGATAGCGGATGCACAGACCACAATATAAACAGTGATGAACATTTCAAAGAGCAAATCACTTTGAAGGATCCTATTCAAGTGAAAGTCGGTGATGGAAGGATTTTGAAAGCTACAAAGGTTGGCAATATAATAGTTTCTTTTCTTGTGTTTCTTTTCCTGTATATAACTCTGAATCTATCATAAAATTGAAGAACGTATTTTATGTAAAAGAAATGAAAGCAAATTTATTAAGTTATTTGAAGATTACTGATAATTATAAAATAATTACAAAAGAAAAGTTTTCTAAAATTTATGATGTCAGTGGTTCATTAGTAGCAATAGCAAAGAAAGAAGAAAGATTATATAAAGTAAAGAAATATGTTAAAAACAGTAAAATATTTGCAAATTTGACCAGCAGTAAGTTAATGTTGAAAGAAAAATTGCACCGTTAATTCGGACATGTAAATTTTAAATATCTGGATATTATGTGCAAAGATCAGCTATTAGAAGGAATCCCTAAAGAAAGAAATAGAAAACCGAAATATATGAAGTGTGCCATATGTATTGAAAATAAAATGCACAATTTACCATTCAAGGAATAATAGAAGAAAAAGCAGAAGATATTCTGGAGATTATACATACAGACGTAAATGGACCTCACAGAACAAGTGGATGTAATGGTGAAGAAATACTTTGTGAGTTTTATTGATGATTATAGCAAGTTGGCAAAAATTTATTGTATCAAATCTAAGGATCAAGTCTCTGATTGCTTAATTGAATATGTAAATGAAATTCAAAATTTAACAGGGAAGATAATCAAAGAACTAAGATGTGATAATGGTAGTGAATATATGAATAGCAAGATATACAAATTTGCAAGAGAAAAAGGTATCAAGATAAAGTCATGCCCACCATATGTACACGAATTAAATGGTACTGCTGAGCGTTACAACAGAACTATAATGGATATGGCAAGATGTCTTTTAGCTGAAGCAAAAGTTGACAGACGTTACTGGCCTGAAGTAATTAAAGCTGCTGCTTATTTGAAAAACAGGACATTAACAAATACTGTTGTAAAGAAGACACCATATGAAATATTTTTTAATAGGAAACCATCTGCAAATGAATTGAAATTATATGGAAGTAGAGTGTATGTAAGAATACCAGAAGAAAAGAGAAAATCTAAAGTGGGATAAAAGGCTGAATTTGGAATTTTACTTGGATATACAGAAGTTGGATATAGAGTTTTGATGAATAACAGAATAATAGTTGCCAGGCATGTTGACATCATTGAAGAAGACATAATGTGTGTAGGTTGTGATGATGAAGATAAGAATGATGATACAAATAAGAAGAATGAACCTCAAGAAGTGTCATATGAATCGAGTAATGATAACTCCAAGGACAGTGTGATAAATGAAGATGAAACAAAAAGTGGAATGAAACCAAGAAGGCAAATCAAACCACCAGTTCGATTTCATGAAGAATTCGGGTACTACTGTGTTAGTGCAAATTTTTGTGATGCTACAGTTCCAGGTAACTTTGAGAAGGCGACAACATGCAGTGCGAGGCTGGACATTGGAAAGAGGCAATGGACAGTGAAATGAACAGTCTTGTTAAAAATGAACACTTGGACACTAGTGACTAAAACCAGAGGATAAAGCAATTCTAAGTGAAGTGGGGTATTCAAAAGAAAACCAGGTTGTTTTTAAAAATTTTTATTAATGTTAAGGTTTTATTAGTGGTTCTTTCAGCAAAAAGATATTCTTTACTCCCTTGTCATTAAGATGCAAACCTTAAAATTGTATAATTTAAATATTCATCAAATGGATGTTGAGACTGCTTTTTTAAATGGTTATGTTGTATCTGAGGTTTATGTTAAACAACCACAAGGCTATAATGATAATTCGAATAGAGTGTATAAATTAAAGAAAGCACTATATGGGTTGAAAGAAAGCCCTCGTGCTTGGTATGAGTGTTTTAACGAGTATATTGAGAGTCTAAAGATTTCGTAGAAGTAAATATGATTACTGTCTTTATGTAAAATCTGAAAATGATGTATTTGCATATATTCTTTTATTGTTGATGATTTGTTGATATGTTGCAAAGATACTCAGGTAATTAATGATATTAAGGAACAATCACATAATAAATTTAAAATGAAGGATTTAAATAAAGTAAAAAGCTACATTGGAATTGATACTGAATATGATAATGAGAAAAGTAGTATCTTAAGATTGAGTCAGGAAAATTATATTGAATCTTTAGCTAAACTGTATGTTATTGAAATTTCAAAGCTTTATGATACACCAATGGAGATTAATCTTAAACTAAGCCAATCTAATTTAAATCAAAAGGTTAAATATAGAAATCTAATAGGGGCACTTTTGTATATTAGTCATGGTACTAGAACAGACATATCTTTCAGCGTAAATTATTCAAGCAGATTTCAAAATTGTTATGATGAGACACATTTCAAATATGCTTTGAAAGTTTTAGAGTATTTGTACTATACAAAACATCTAAAATTAATCTAAAATTTACTATTCAGTTCTATAGTAAAAATCTTAAAACTGATATTATGAATTGCTATGTTGATGCTGATTGGGCAGGTGATATTGTTGATAGAAAATCAACTACTAGGTTTGTTATTGAATTATTTGGTAATCCAATTTATTGGAAATCCAAAAAGCAAAATTGTGGGACAAAATCTTCCACTTTTGCTGAATATATTGCTCTGAGGCTGTGATAGAAATTAATTGCTTAAAAAATGTTGTGAATGATGTTTTTGCTGATATAACTCACCCCATTAAAATTTATGAAGATAATTCAGGAGCTTTGGCCATTGCTAATTATGGGAACTTCACTAAAAATTCAAAACACATAGAAGTTCAATATCATTATGTACACAAAAATGTAAGATTGATTCAGAATCAAATATGGCAGATATCTTTACTTTTTAGGAAAGGTTAAATTTATGAAATTCAGAAAAGAAGATTTTTGATTGAAACAAAATTTTGTATACTGTTTATTTAAATATTTTTGCTTAAGATGAAATAGATTTTGGTTATGTCCTTGTGTAAACTAAATTGTGTTTAACTTTGATTTTAACATTTAAGTTAATGAAAGAAACCTTTTTTGAAATAATTTGTGTTAAGTGTTGAATGTTATTGTTTATATCTATGCTTAATTGTAAATAATAAAGATGAAAAGGTTGCTCATATCTATGTTTATTTGTAATTAGTAAATACAAATGTAAGGAGGCATGTTAGTTTGGTAGATTTATCTTTACTATGTTGGCAACACTAAGTTTTCTTCTGTGCGTGCGAGCTATGGATGTTGTTGTAATGTTGTGCACGTGTTGTTAAGTTTCAATAAAAAATGTGAAAAGATAGTTTCTTATTTTTCAGCTTGCTTCTTGATATGATATCGGTTTATTTAACAACATTCCTGGTCATCTCATTATGGTATAAATAAGTCGCATGCCTGCTTTCAGTGAAGCAGACTGACTCTTTCTCAAGACGATCATGAGGTAATGAGAAAGAATTTAGACAGTTTTGCTTTCAGATACTCAGAATTGTTTACTCATATGTAGTTAACATCTATATCTTGTAAAAAAGTTGAATTGTATTGCTGGCATAAACTGTGATGTCTAACACTAATTTTCACGGGCATCAATTTATCTTGATGCCTTGGCTGTATTACGGCCAATGATTTGTTATAGTTTCCAGTGACATGGAGACTAAGTGTATGGATAAGGATTTCAATGATTTGATGATTTATTGACAATATCCTGACCTATTGTACTGTTAATGCTTTCTATCTGTCAAGGTCCATCTTTTACAATAAATTACTCATTCACACATAGTGAACGTCTCCAGGCAATGTTAGTACAGTATCACTATATCCCTTCACCTGCCAGATCTTCAGATTTTTTTCCTAATTTAACATGCATGAAAAATGTTAAGATGAAAGTTACAGCCTTCTTGCAACATGCAAGAACTTAGAGAGTAAATATGAGATACTTGGCAGCAAATTCCACAGCATAATCATTTCACAATAAAGCTTGCATGATTCCATGCTAGACTAAATATTATCGTACATTGCTATCAGAGGCGACTATACATTATATTAATATGCAATCATTTCATACTTGTCTTTGCTAAATAAATGAATTAATTACAATTAACTATAATCATTTTATGATTTAATGCTCATACCAATGTTTATCATGAATAAATAAATTTTGTATGCATTCAGACTTCTTCTAATACACAATGCATTTTAATTTATTTTGACTGAAATGCTAAAAAAATCAGATGTGCATTCATCGATGTATTAATGTCTTAATGCATAAACAAAAGTAGTTTAATATGTTTCTAGTAACTGATAGTGCTTTTGATACAGAACCAAAATCATTTTCATCAAAATTCTTTATTTAGCTTTAAATGACATACACATGTGTATCAATTTTGAAATACTTAAATATATGTCTTAATTTATTCTTCATAATCAGACTAAAAACTTGAAGATTAAATTTCTTGAATAATGAATATAATTTTTCTTGATTTATTCAATTATTTCTCAAAATTAATTATAGGGAAGAAATTTATTTTCAGTTCGTAAGATATTTGGTTATAATAACTATTAACATATCACAAAAAACATACAGTGCCTTTTACTTTAAACATACAGTGCCTTTAAATATACTAATGCTTAAAATAAGAAAAAATTCACAAGAAAAATAGAATTACAAAATAAAAGATTAAAAGTTTCCTGCAATACTTTAAATAGAGACATATGTGAATTCTTAAAAATAATTTTCTAAACATACATACTTTGAATGCAGTTCATATCCAGTGTCACCATCCTTATCTTCACTAAACATTTTACTGTAAAATGAAACAAAAATAAGAAACATGCATTCATATATCCACTAAAGAAAATTAATATTGATTTTATGACACTTACTTAATATTTATAAAACTGGAACGAGATGCTGCTTCACCAAGAGGAGGAATCTAGAAACATAATTAAAAAATGTTATTTTAAAGACTTAAGTTACTATGCAACATTACTATGTAATATAATACTTAAAATGAACATATTTTAATTTTTGTATTCTAACCATACCAACTAGAAAATTAATCAAATTTATATCACTAAAATATAAAGAAAAAATAATAATAAAGTTCTGATGACTTCAAAAGCATTGTTACTATAATGTCACAACAGAAAATAATAGTCTTTCTTATAGGCACACTTTTAAAGCAATATTATGGTTTTGCAATAGTTTTTAAAGCAAAATTATAATTTACAAAATGGAATAGCAACAACAGTTTATTAAAACAGTCATATATATAACCATTTAAAAAATTGTTAAGCTTTTAAGCTATAATGATTTTTATTTGTCTTGTTAAAAATAAACTTAAAGCAAATGATAAATTTTAACTGATGTTTGTGTAGTTAATATGACATTTATTAAAACACAATAATAAATGAGCTCGATTATATTAAAATACTAATTTTGATTGAATGATTAAATGAGAAATGAGAAAGCGACTTCTAGGGAAGTAAGCAAATGATAAATTTTAACTGATGTTTGTGTACTTAATATGACATTTATTAAAACACAATAATAAATGAGCTCGATTATATTAAAATACTAATTTTGATTGAATGATTAAATGAGAAATGAGAAAGCGACTTCTAGGGAAGTGCGGGCAGCTATGAATTTTAATACAGATTCAGGGGGAAAAATTATTAACACATACAAGTCAGAATATCTATCAGAGCAATTAAAAGGCTAATTCAGTAAAGTTATAAGATGAAAGCAAAAGGCAAACTGAATCATATTTGTGCAATGAAGTATAATAAATAGAGAACAAGTAGCTTATTGAAGTGTTTTTTTTAGTCATTTCATGCCACTTTTATTACATTCATTCTATTTTTTCCCCTTATAATTATCTGTTTCAGGGATGAATGCTAACATGCCAATATATACAGGGTGAGTCATAAATTCGTGCAAACTTTAAAAATTCATACTAAAATAAAAAAATGCTTAGGAAAAATTTTGGATTGTGCAAATATGATCATAGGGGCATTGGATTTTTTTCCTACATATTAAAAAATGATTCCAAAAGTAACCGAAAGATGGCATTCACCCATCATACTGAGATATTTTATGCATAACAGGCAAACACACACAATAAAAAAGATAATGATAACTTAACACTTTAAACACCTGACCACCAGCACAAGGTGTTAGGCAAGTCAGGCATGTCACTATGTCTAAAACAGCTGAGGTATAGCAAGCCAGCATTGATGCCATCAATGGTCCATTGAATTGGATCTTAAAATTCCACTAAAGTGGCTGGACAGCCCCGGTACACACAAGACTTTAAGTACCCCCACAACCAAAAATCTGCCAGGGGCAAGTCTAGTGATTTTTAAGGCCACTTACAACTTTGACTTAATCTTTAGTGAAAGTTTCCAACAGGCAAGTCTTAACTTCACATGCAACATGAGGTAACGCACCATCCTGCATGATGGTTACAACAGGTAATGAATGACTTTCTTGCACATATGGTGTAACATACCATTCTGCATTAACTTTATGGGTTTTGTATTACAGATACAGGTGAGAGCAGGTCTGGGCACTCAGGTGGCTTACAACGACTATTCGGGTATTGTCTGAAATCCGCAACTGTACAATGCAAAAACTCTCTGGTGGCCCAGAAGCATGGCGTTGGGAGCTTAATAAAATCTTTTGCTGATATTGTACATTGAAATTTGGGAATTTTGCACTGATATTTAAACATTTTACACTTATATTTTTACACAATACAATCATTTTATACTGATGCACATACTGCAGCTTTTACATAAATATTATGCACTGGTAACTAAACACTTAAACTGATGTCACTCTGATACACATACAGATTCTACTCTGGTGGGCATATACAGACACAGTTTTACAGATGCAGGACAACACTCTTCAAAAAAGAAAGAGCCCAGAATGAAAGACACTGTGAAGCCATACCAAACAGTTACATAAGGAGAATGAAGTGGTTTGGTCAGGTAGTCATGAGGGTTTAATCCCACCCAGATGCAACTGTTTTCCACATTGATGTCACCATGAAATAAAAAGAGGGCTTTATCCATCCACATGGTGATCAGCGACCATTAGGGGTTAGCCTAATTTGTGCTAGCATCCATGTAGCAAAGTTTTGTCTTTCATCTAAATTTGTCAGTAATAACTGGTAAATTGCCAGTATTTTGAACAAATACAGCTTCAAAATCCTGTGCAGAATATTTTGAATCAATGATTCTGGAATCTCCATTATTTTCTCAGATTCATGAGCACTGCTACTCCCCACTGATGACTTGGCTGTTAATTCTTCTATAACACTTTGTACAACATGGACTCAGTCTGTCCTCAAGGATGGTCTACCACTTCGTGGATGATCTCCAAAACTATCCGTTTCCTCAAAACATCATACTAAATTCAGTATCCCATTCCATTAAAAAAAGGCTTTTTGGGAGGTTCAGGCTTTTTTTCATGTGAAACGTTTTCAACACAATACCCGTGATTTTGCCAACGTTTTCAACACAATACCCGTGATTTTGCCTTTCTTGTAAAAAAGTTTAACCAGCAGAACTTGATCTGGTAAAGATAGAATGTTGCCAGCATTGAATTACAAATCCATTTCCAGAAAGGTGTTTTATTGTTAGTCTGATTTGCGAAAAGCATCTCAGTATAATGTGTGAGTGCCCTCTATTTGGTTACTTCTGAAATAGCTTTTTTAATACAAGAATAAAAATCCAAAGTCCCTCTGATCATATTCATGCAGAACAAAATGTTTTCCCGAGCATCACTTCTTTGATTATGAATTTTCGAAGTTTGCATGAATTTATGAAAAAAAAGACAAAAGACCCTCACTTAATTTGTTAATTGAGAGTAGATTAGTTAGTTCCTCTTGACAAGTCAATTAATATATGGTCAATAACAATGGTTACCTTTTTAGTACTTAAAATTTTATTTTTTAATTTTACTATTCAGGACTTTTTTGGTTTAAATTACTATTTCTATACAGCTTAGTAAAATATTTTTACACGAAAGAAATCTAAAAAACTTGATTTAAGAGATGATACATTAATAATGTATTTTATTTTAATTTGAAATTTCTCAGTTTTACATATATGTATAAAATTTATTATTACAAAAGTTTTTTTTTTAAGTCATGCAGTATACTGTGAGATTTATCAACCAATCAAAAAATCAAAGTTAAATCATGAAAGCTGCCCTTTCAAAATAACCAAAGAGTTTTCAACAATTTTTTGCAATTTTATTTTCCTTATATTTTACAATTAAAAAAAATTGCATTGTTTTTGTATTTTTAAATGCTCATGTTTCTGTTTTAATTTCTGTATTTCCTTTCAAAGAGTAGCCAACCTTTCATGATTTAATTTTTATCTCTTGTTTGACATGTATATATATAAAGGGTGGCAAGCATCAGCTCAGTGAGCTTGAAAAAGGGAAAGGAATTATTTGGACCACTGTGAAAAATCCTTTCACATAATTTTGCTAGTGTTAAAGGTGACATGCTCAACTGCGAATGGCAGTAGTGTAAAGTGCAAAGTGGCAGGCATTAAACCAATTCAAACAAGTCAGGCTAGTCATATTTTGACAGACAGGAGCCACAGAACATTCAGTAGAGATACAATAATACACATGTGCACGAAGTAGTAACTAGTTTTTAATAACAATCACAAAAGAATACAATCTAATTTGAATAAATAAATAGGATTTTTAATTTAATTTTTTAAAAATTTCTCAATAATTATATGAAGCATATATAAAAATGGACACATGGCACATTTCACGTTACATACATTTGAATGAGATAAAGGGAAAGCAAATCTGCTGTTTGGTAGAGAACCTTTGCCTTGATGTGCTGTAAAGAAATAAAAATTCATAAGTATTGACATACTCAGTAATGAAACGTTTAAAAAAAATTGCATTAGCAAGGAAGCTACAGTTTTCATTCAAGTAAAATTCAGAAATAAAATACAAAATAACCTTTTAAAATGTATATGCCAGAAAAGGAATGAAATATGACAAAACATTAAATCTCAAATCTGTTACATCACTTCTAAATTATATGCACGATACTCAATTTTAAAATATTTCAAATTTTCAAATACAAAAGTACATCCAAACAGAGCCATAATTAGAAGCAATACATTTTTCTGCATTTCGAAATTAGCTATCAGTATTTATAAATTTTTTTAAATCTGCTATAACAATAAAACAGTATTTTATGAGGAGTTGAGATAGATATGAGTCTTATACTGATATAAACTATTAAACTTGAAATTTTTCTTTGTAATGTTTCAATTTTAATAATTTTTTTTAAATATTTCATGTTTTTTTTAACATCAATGTACTATCTTGTGCATTCAATTAAATCCATAAACATGACTTAAAGTGCCAGATATTTCATCTTTCTTCTATCAAATTTAAGAATCACATCAGCTTCTTTTTGTACAATTTCTAAAAATAAATCAGTAGCTTTTAATACATGAAACCACCAGAACTGAATAAAATCAAAATGCATTACTAATCAGTTTAAGATAAGGACAACATGCACATAATGGCACATTAATCCTGACACTTTATTAGCTACATTTAAATGACCTTATTTTTTTTTTACATTTCACAATTAGATAAATCATAATACATAAGTATATTATTCTAAAACCCAATCTGCTCAAAATCTAGTCTTAGTCTTAACTACACTTGTTGCTTATTAGCTACTACAGTACTTACTGAAAAATATCAGCACTCATTTTAAAATTTAGCAGAATTCTTTTATGGCTTTTCATTGGTGGAACCATTCTTAAACTTAACCAACAGACCTTCCTTTATCAAAAATTTACAGAAATAAAAAAGTTATGCTTCGAAGTAAACCAGTACTTAAATATCTACGAATAAATTACAATCCATTCCCCTAAAAGAATATCAATAATTCTTTTATGATGTAATTAATAAATTTAATTCAAAATCATACATGCATTTGTAAGAATGAAATTTGCTGCATGCTCAAAGAAATCTACAACACAAAATAAATTCTATAACCAAAAGTAATTTTCAATGAAAATACTTTTACATTGTTCTAAATGTAAATAATGAAAATAGAAAAATACCATTAACAAAAAAGGTACTAAAAATACTATATATTCATCTCACATTTTGTAGATTTATAAAGATCTTCAGCAAGATGTTTGGAAAAAATGAAACTATTGAATTTGTCTAAACTGTAATAATCTTATAGTATAGTAACACATATCTTATCACTTGCAGTCAGGTATATTATAACTTCAAAATGTTTTTTGTTAATTACCTTAATGGTGCAAAAGTTTATTGAAATTTGCAGATATATTGTGAATTATATGAAGTTATTTTATTATACTTAATAATAAAAATTATTTCAGTACATAAATATATTATTTAATTTCTCAGTTTATTACAGTATATGCCATATACTTTCAAAACCTGAAGGTAAAATAAAGATCTTCAGGTATACAATAATATGGGTGATATACATGGGTGATTTATATATGCAAGATCATGTGAAAAATCAGAAGACAGAGTAGATATTGTAAATATCAAAATGACATGCAAATGAGATCAATGAAAATGAATACATAATATAAAAGTTAGTATTATTGATTAGACACAGTTTAGTCATTAGTCATAGCACATTTTACTGATGATCCTTATTAATCATATTAGTCACAGCAAATTTATAAATGATCCTTACATTTTAATGACATGAGTTCAATATGTTCAGGGTGAATGTAATTTACTAAACACCATGATATCTCTCCATAGTAGTAATACAGCATTGTTAATGTGAAAAATTTATACTATAACAGAAAGATATCTGATAAAGATTCTGAAATTTAACTGATATACTAAGTTCATTTTTTAATAAATTTTTTAATAAATGAAATTTATCTGTTTTATATTTTGTAGCAAAAACACCTAATTACTATTTAAAAATAACTAATTTAATTTAAAATTTCACACATAATATTAATTATTGAAGTTTCAGCTATGTCTATGCATGCATTACGAAATGCACCTTTCTGCATTTTCTATTTATATCCAAAATATTAAATTGCTAATTACAGTAAAATTTTTATATTTGAATGGCAGAACAAACTATTATCTAACTATTTTTAATAATTTAATTTCAGTTTGTTTAGTTACAATTAGATTAAAATTTTTCTCTTTTTTAAAATTAAAATTGAAGGGAAAAAAGTATTTATTAAGCTGAAAGAACTTCCTTAAGCCACATGTACTTTGCTGATGTAAAAAAAAAAAAAAAAAAAAAAAAAAAAAAAAAAAAATTAGTTAGTTAGAAATTAGTTTATTTAAAAATACTATTAATTTTTATTTATTTGTTTTATTATGGCAAAGTATATGAAAACTATCTGTTTATTGAGAGGGATGCTTTCATAAGAACTTTCTAAAGGAAATTGGCTCATACTCACTAAAACATTTTAAAATTAGCTTATTTGTTAAAAGGATTAATCTGATAAGAAATGATTTAATTTAGCTAAATAAATAAACAAATTTATCTGAAAAAATATCAAGAAGCTTAAACTTCTTTAACAATAGAAATTTTTAATAAAAGTTGCTGTTAAACTTTTGTCACAAAGTTACAGTTAACAATTTCTCATAGCTGATAATACAATTATCAACCATGAGAAAATTTTTATTTTTGAATAATTAAGGAATGAATTATAACTCTTTGACAAATGTGCATTATTTAAAATATAATAATTTATTATTAACTAATTTTATAAAGTTAATGATAACTCAGAATAAGATTACTGACATAATATAACAAATTTTGCAGGCCCCTCGTCTCAATACAGCCTTGAATATCATTATAAAAATGGTTGAATCAGATTCATTGATTTGGGGGGAGGGGTATTTTAAAGAATTATGAAATTATTTTTTTGCAATAAACCTACATTTATTTAGAGAATTATTATATGGATAAAACATTTAAACAATTTTAAATTACTTTGTTCTTGTACTTAAAAAAAAAAAAAAAAAAAAAAAATCCTTAGTGTCTTTTTATGTTATGGATAAAGAATTTAAACAATTTAAAATTACTTGTTTGTTCTTGTACTTAAATTCAAGCAATTTTCTTAGTGTCTGTTAATGTTTTGCTACTGTATTTTTGTGTTTTGTTACTGTATTTCTTTTCTTTCTTTTTTTTTTAAAAAAGAAGTGTCTACCTAAGAAAATATACAACTTATTAAATTTTGCATAACATTTATGATTACACAAACACATAAAAAACTTTAACCACTAAAACTTTGTCTCTCATAAATTCTTCCTTTTTTTTAACTATATATATGATAAAAATAATGTGAAATTTTTAATAGTAATGCATGTTATTTAATGAAATGATGGATTATTTACCTTAAAGAATAATTTTAACAGTTTTATGGATAAAGAATTTAAACAATTTAAAATTACTTGTTTGTTCTTGTACTTAAATTCAAGCAACTTTCTTAGTGTCTGTTAATGTTTTGCTACTGTATTTTTAAGTTTTGTTACCGTATTTCTTTTCTTTCTTTTTTTTTTTTAAAAAAAATAAGTGTCTACCTAAGAAAATATACAATTTATTTAATTTTGCATAACATTTATGATTACACAAACACATAAAAAACTTTGACCACTAAAACTTTGTCTCTCATAAATTCTTCCTTTTTTTTTAACTATATATATGATAAAAATAATATGAAATCTTTAATAGTAATGCATGTTATTTAATGAAATGATGAATTATTTACCTTAAAGAATAATTTTAAAAGCTGAATTAAAAGAACTAATATGCAGATTTCCAACTTGATTTATTAGCACATGTGAACTGAAACAGAAATTCACTTCATGCAATTATCATGGTGCTTAGCATTTCAAAGATTGAATAAAACTTAATTTTTTCAACTCCTGAATACATCTGATCATATTGAACCCACCATAAATTTCTCACCAATACTAAAATGATGACACACACCTAGATGAACCATGCTTTGTGACAATGGCCTCACCAAATGAAGATAACGATTGGGGTAATGGGGCAAACGGCCTGAAAGCACATACACGCAACATAAAGCAAATAACAACACAAAACAAAAAAGCAAAAGCGTGCACTAATATTAAATGCAAATTAAATTGTATAAGGAAGTTAGTGGTTATAACATGAAGCACAAAGGGGAAAAAATAAAGATATACATAGCAAATGCATTAACATTCTATTATAAATTTTCACTATCAATACACTGAAAGTTACAGCACTAGCATACACAACATGTATTTAATATGCACAATGCAATGACTTGTGATGAAGAAGTAAAACAATCAATGAATGATTAATATGCTTTGAAATTTAAATTGAAAACATAAACTGTTAATGGATAGCAACTTACTGTATGACATCAACATTTTAACAATATGCATTTAAGTTATGTATAGAATCAACAGCATGAAATATGAAATTTTGGTAAAACATTAAAAAAAATTAAAGATTGAAGGATTATAAAACTATCAAAAGTCCTTCATTAATACTAATATAATTTTGAGTAATATCATCAAATTAATAATCCTATGCCAATTGATGATTCAAGCAAATGTTGGTCTGAATGAATTAGGATATCTCAAGCAAATGTTGGTCTGAACGAATTAGGATATCTCAAGCAAATGTTGGTCTGAATGAATTAGGATATCATTAATAAAATATTGATTTACACATGAATACATACTTGAATGGCCATTTACAGAATTTGAGTTTGTGTCTTTTCCTAACGAAACATAATTTGCTTTATTCTGCGCCTAAAAAAAATAATAATAATGTAAAGAAATTAATTACCTTTATATACATGATACATAAAATCTGAAGTGAATATGCATTCAGTATAAAAGAAAAGGATAACAAATTGTAGAACTATTGTTAATAGAAAACTTACCCTTTGCAGTTTGAATTTATTGCAATCAACTACTTGATCTTTGCATGCACTGTCATGGACTACAACTAAACAATCTATCAAGAATAAAGAATAAATCAATAACATGAAAATTTTTATAGCACCATGGGAAAACTATAATATCCACTTGGTATGTAATAGCATTTACTAATAAAAACCATGCTCAGTTTACCCTTTATAACTCCAAAACTTAGTATAACAGACGATGATTAATTCATTAACTAGAAATACATTACATGGAGATTTTTAGCACCACAAAACAGAAATGCAATGCATAAAGAGAATACCGAAATTATTTTTAAAATAGTATTAAAAGCCAAAGGCACATAACAGGTTTTTCAAAACACAAAACTCATTGAAGGAAAAAAGATTTTCAATCAGTACATAACTTATTATGCTAAATTTAAATCTTAAGTACTCTGTACTTGGCTGCCTTTGACTAATTTTTTTAACTAAATACGACATGACAGCTAAGGGTTTAAGGGTACAGAGGTCTTCATAAACATCTTTCTTAGAACCTGGCTTATATTTACATTACTCAGGAGAAAACCATGAAAGCACCTTATGCAGTCAGCCATCTGTCATGGGTTTAACTACTAGTGTGTAGTGATTTTATACACTCTGTCAATAGAAGGCTGATGACAAAGATGGCACATGGTATGGAAAAAATAATCTGCTGATAGCATACCATTTAGTTTATAATTAAAAACACATCATTCTGTTAAAAATATCTCTGTAACTGAAAGCATATCTTCATTATTTATTTCCTAAATATTGTAATACTGTACTCACAATCAAAAGTTAGAAGCAACACTATAATTTTTCCAATTACATTTGCACACTTCACGTCTCTATAGTACATCCAGAAGACCCTCAATATTTCAAAAATTTTTATTGTTATATTGAAAATAAGGGGAACAATAATTACATAAAGACAATTACTAATTCAGTAATTAACACTGCTCTTACAACCAAAGTCTTTAAATTAAAAATTTAATTCTGTCTGTTCATCTCATAAACTTTTTTTTCCCATCAGAGTATTTATAAATATTTTTTACATTTGATATATAGATTGTTTATTCATACACTACTTCAAAATTTATAACATGAATTATACTGAGTCCAGGACCCTTAATAATTGGAAAAGTACTTAAAGCAAAATGAAAAATGATACAGCTTGTACTTTAAATTAAAAAAATATAATTGAATTACCTTAGAAGGAAAAAAAAGTCAAAGGTCAAGGTAAAACCAAATTGATACATTATACATGAAAGAATTACTTGAATAGCAGATTTTTGTAAAACATTAAAATTCCTACTCCACTTAATATACAGATAATAACGAAAAACAATATTGCTGTCTTATAAATTGTGCCTTTATCTCAAAATATATATGTGTTTGTTTAATTGTAATATTCCCTTTATTGTAAGATTCTGAAGTCAAACTGCAGTAACTCAAATATAAATTTATGTTGATCTTCAAATACATTATGAGATTTACATATTACTGTGTGTGAGCCTTACATAAATTCATATATCTTTAAAAATGATGAAAAATATGCTCATACATACTTTCACATTTCAAAGCTTGTTTCTTATTGAATGGCTTTTGACAAACATCACAGGCAATGACAGATCCATTACAGATCACAAATTGATGAGCAACTTTTTTCCCTTCTTTTGATTTGTGTTTATCCTAATAATAATAATAATAATAATAAAAACATTTTAAATAATAAATTATCAAAAACTCAGCTTACAGATAAAATTAAACTCTATAATGCAGAAATATTTTTTACTGATGAAAATGTAAAATAGGAAAATTAATATCCACACAGCATATATACATTAATTTGAGCGAACGGATTATAAAACATGTTTATGCATCATTAAAACATATTATGTTACTACCACAGAATGTTAAATTAGTATTGGAACATTAATTAAAGCTCAGAGACCAAATTAAAAATTAAATTCAAGTTAGTTTGAAATTTTAAATCTAATAATCAAAACAACTAGTATACACATTCTTCAAGATACAAGTTCTGCATAAATATTTTCCCTATACTTATATCAAACAAAGTACATATATGACAGGTGTAATATCAAGACAGAAGAGAAACGCACCAAAGAAAAACATAAAATTAGGCAAAGTCCAGTTTGTTTGATGTAGATTTTAGTCAAGACTATTGATTTTGAGAGCAAACAAATATCAGTTCCTCTTCATACTGCAGATTTCTTTGCACCTGATGAAGAGGGGCTTGTACCTGTTTGCCTTCAAAGCTGATAAGAGTCTTGGACTAAAATCTATGCCAACCACAAGGTTGTAGGTTATTACTTTGCCTAATTTTAGTGTAATATTTTTTAACAATCAAGTTCAAAATATTATTTAATAATTAAAAATGAAACAAATTTAATGTTTTTGGTTTGGTTTATTAGATTACGGCAAAGCACTCAAGGGCTATCTGCCTTAAGGGAGGGATGCCTTTGTGGATGACTTTTTAAGGGAAACTGGCTTATATACACATTACACATGAAAACACCCATGCAGCCATCCGTCCGTGGGATTCGAACTTCAGACCAAACTACCAGTGTTCAGCGATGTTACCGCTCGGCTGCTGGTGGGCACAATTTTAATGAAATTATGTAAAACATTAGATGATGAAAATACCAATGTAACAAAATTTTCAATGCTTTTTTAAATATATATATATTACATATACATACACATACAGTACAAAGTTTGACATCCAGAGTAGTCGGAACTTCCAATTCCAGATTTTGGAGCCAGGAAATTACCAGTTTAAATCTAGTGAGATGACATCCAGAAATTATAAAATAAAAAATATTCTTTACTAATATTTCTTTAAGAAAGAGAAGATTACAGAAATCTTTAAGAAAGATTTTTTCTGAATTCCTGTGATGTTAAATTAAAGCCAAAATACTGATATATTCTGGATTTAAAACCATCCTAGAGATATTCACCATTCCACTAATTGAATGATTATTAAGTCTTTGCCATCATAATGTAAGATTTTAGTTATATATATATATATATTTAGCATTTCTTCATATTCTATTAATCAGAAAATTTCACTTTTCTTTGTGATATCTAAAAACCTTCAGATTTGTGGTTCTCATTATCATGACATTTGGTAGCTGGCTATAACTTATGTGAAACCTTTCAAAAATTATTTGTAGACACATCCTCTCACGACCTTGCAATGCCTCACATATTAAGACTTTATAATGAACTATTTCTATAATTCTTGGATGGTCCTACTGCTGAATTGCTTATTAAAAAGCTACTTTAAATCTGCATCTCGGTATATGCAAAATTTTGATATCCATTGGCTGATTCATGGATGAACATTTTCAGTTCAGAACTGTAATATTGATAATTTGATTTGAATTGGCAACAGTTTTATTCCCTAGTCAGCAGATTTTGAAAGTTAACACTAGAAGCGCCGTTGGGGTCATTTTGACCTTTTTTTCCAATTTTACGCGTTTTTTTTTAACATACAGCTGAGCTTCGAAGCTGATATTTTTTTACTTTTTCTAAAATGTTTCCAAGTATACTATGCCAATTTTTCATATTTCTACGTTAATTATTTAAACAAATAATCGCAGATATACCTAAAACAGCCAACTGGGGTCATTTTGGCCCTCATAAGAAAAACGACACTAGGAGCACTAGGTCATTCAAAACTTTGTGCAGTTGATTTGTTGAACAAGAATTGAGGACCACCTGTGTTCAAAGAAACAATGTCACGCAATCAGTTCCGTAAAATAATGCAGTATCTCAGATTCGATGTCCGAAGCACCAGAGCTGATCCTCTCGCCACTAACAAATTTGCTCTCGCTTCTGTAACCAGGTACAAGCTAATGGAAAACTGTTATTTGTGCTATAATCCTGGACCAGAAATAACCGTTGATGAACAATTGTTGCCTTATCAATCAAAATGTAGATTTATTCAGTATATGACGAATAAACCTGACAAGTTTGGCATCAAATTCTGGCTAGCAACTGATGTAAAATCCAAATATGTTTTGAATGGTTATCCTTATCTGGGCAAGGATGAAGAACGACCAACTAATTTACAACTTGGGAAAAGTGTAGTTCTCAAATTACTGCAACCACATGTAAACTCCGGACCCAATGTCACAACTGACAATTTTTTTACTTCTGTGAAACTTGCAGATGAACTTTCTGCGAAATAAACCACAATTGTGGGGACGATGCTTCTGAATAAGCGATAATTACCCCCATTGCTCGTGACACTTCTTCGGCACGATATTCATCTTTTGCACTGAAAAATGGAGACAAAACACTCACAATATATAGGTGCAAGAACAGAAAGAATGTCGTGATTCTGAGCACGATGCACAGTAATGTGTTTGTTGACGACAGCATAAAGAAAAAACCGAACACAGTCACTTACTACAACAGTACAAAATGTGGCATTGATGTCGCAGATCAGATGCTGAGGAAATAGAGTAAAAGTAGTGGAAGTTGCAGGTGGCCTGTACATGTTTTTTACAACGTCCTTGACATTGCTGAACTCAATGCTTGGATTATATTCAAAGAATCCTTGGGCACCTCAATTTCCCGTCGAGAATTTATTCTTGCACTCATGGAAGAACTACGAGTTGGTGCACTACGCAACAGATGCCCCCCAATTGCTCAAATACAGACACTTAAAGGAAAGGAACGTGCATTTTAAAGTTCCAAGGGACAAAACAAGACTGTTGTCAGCTGTGAGGGATGCCAGAAACCAATTTGTGGTAAATGTGTTGCTGTTAGTATCAAGCGTTCATATTGTATCACCTGCGGTAATGTATAACAAACTTAGGAAAACATTGCGTGTTTATTCCCAATTTATGTTTTTTGTAATTTTTTGCATATGTTCTATTTTCCTCTTTTTGCATTTGTATCTTTTGTTTGTTTTTCAAAGATTTTGTTTTTGTTTTTGTAATCTTACATTGAGAGATATGTGCTAATTTGCGCTAATTGCACGAAAATAATTCTAAAGTATAAAAAAATAAATAAAAACCTCTAAAAACTCTTTTATGTGGTCATTCAGCATCATTTCAATCATTTACTGTGTTTCTACTTACATTTCTTATGAGGGTCAAATTGACCCCCAATGGTGGTTTTCGGTTAGTCTGAAATTCGGCTGTTCTAGTGTTAAATATAGGAATCTTAGTTCATGGGAAAAGAACTGCTTTTATGGCAAGCCTGATTTTTCTCATATGTTTTCTATTCTATCTCTTAAGTATTATATGTTTTGTTTGGGAAGATATCTAAAAAGAAAAAAATTGCTAGAGGTTCAGATAGTAGATGTCTGTATTTCAGACTCTCTCTCTCTCTATATATATATTTATTAACCAGACAGATTATCTTTTTAGAAAAAGTAAAGTAGAAACTATTGTAACCCATTGAAGTTACTATTCAGTTAAAGTTACATTTAGAAAAAGTCAGTTTCATTCTCAAGCAGATGAGAAAAATACCTGCAAATCTTTTACATAATTTTTTACTTTAAAATGTTTCATATGCATACATATAATGAAATGAAACAATTAAATCAACATCTCCCAGGATGTTTTAGTAAGAAAAATGACGAATAAAGAATGTACTAAAATTACATGTAATACTACTGTGAAAACTGCTAAAAGCCTTTGGCTAAAAATAACTTAAGGTTACGGTCTAAAAGGAAATAAATGAAAATTACAAAAAAATCAAACAATGATTATTTTTTTAATCACTTTATTATTCTATTATATATATGTGTGTGTGTAAGATAAAAAATATGAAAGCAAACTTCTAATTTTAATTGCTTATAGCCTCTTTTATTTTTCATTTAATTTGGGGACTACCTCTCTCTCTATCTAAAAAACAGTGCTTCAAGTCTAAACTGCATTACTCAAATTAATCATGCGATCCTACGTAACTCTAAATGCAGATACCTCTTGCCAAATCAAATAATTGTAAATCAAAACTTTTTTAGCTCGAACTGAAACTTTTTGACACCCTCTCTTCTTCTTCTAAATTGCTGTGTCACTTTTTTGCTTAAGCTTTCCTGCTGGCCAGATGCTTTGTGACAAAGGAATATGTTCTGAGTTAACAAAAATGTAGGGTGCATAAGATGCTCGTCCATATGTGAACCAAATCTGTGAATCCAGAATTGCTTTCATACATAATAAAATTCTCTTGAATCCGGCCATGTCTGTATTGCCAAGCTTCTTTGCTAGCATCTATTATGCCACTGTCAAGTTCCAAATCATTCATACATATGTATAAAATATCTACTAAGTAAAAATGTACATGAGTAATTTGAAATGCCAAATATATTACATAGGAATAACTTACAGGTTTTTTCTTAAAAAATATGCTTGACCTTTTCTTCCGTTTGACAAAAACTTTTTCTTCATCACTATCTGCAGTTGCTGAATGCATTTGTACGCTAGTAACACATTTAAATAAAATATAAATTATTTCATCACAAAATAATTTCAGAATAAACAGAGAGAAATAAATTTAATAATTTGAGCTTTTGTTTGAGTTATATAGTACTTTACAGCACACTTACTCTCGTATTAGGGTACTTAAAGATAATTGCTGAGTATCACCTATATTTTCATCACAATCCAATGATTCATGCAACTGTGGACTTAAATCATGTAGTGGTAAAGGGTGCATTGTGCATAAGCTAGAAATAATAAAATAAAATAAAAAAAGACAAAGTTTTAAGAAAGAAAAATCTAAGGCAGTGCATTAAATTACTGTAAAATTCAGTTTGACAGGGACAAAAATAAATAAAGATTTCTGGCTATTTTGATATTTTTATTTATTTATTTATTTATTTTTTGATATTTTTACTGTAAATTAATGATAGAAATGAAGTAAAACTAGAAAGGTACGTTATTTATCTAAAATGCATGCAAAGGCACATTTAAAAATATAAAAATTTGTGTAACTCAAAATTTATACTAATCCTTCAGTTGTGAAGTGTCTGAGGTTCATTCAGTTAGGAAAGCCTAATAATAGTGCAAGGAAATCATCCATATAAGCTGCTTAAAAATTTAACATAAAATACAAAGTGTCGTATTTTACAAGTCTGAAATTCATTCCAAAAAAATCATTTCACTAACATAAAAATGCAATTTCGAATGGCAGCTTGAACACAATAATACTAATAAAGTATAATGGATGAAAATATGGGAAAGGGGATTAAAGGTGAACATACTTTATTCTACATATACAACAATGGAAAACTCAATGAATGTGAACTGAGTTTTCCATTCTAAATTGGAACTATATCTATCGATGGATCATAGTATGCAAGTTTTTAGTTTTTCGTTCCTTTTTATTAAAAAAAATTTCCTCGGTCATCTTAGGCTAGCACTTAAAATTTGGGGGGTACAATTTTTAAATTAAAGAAATTAAATCTTTCAACTGCAGGCCTTTAAAGGATTTAGTTACATGATGACTAAAATTATATTTGATGTGCATTAAATTCTCTCTCCATATGACACATATATTAGAATAGCTGTAAGATTAATGTATCATCAAAACTGACTGTCAAATATTGTTAAAATTAAAGGAAAATGGAATTGACTGTAAACTGATGATAATTTTAGAGTTACTTCTCAAGTACAAACTATATTTCAACATACAAAATAATAAAAAAATAATATATGTAATTAACCCCTTAACTGCCGCGGGCGTATATATACGCCTTGCTCAGCCGATGCGTTAACTGCCCCGGGCGTATATATACGCCCTTACAAAATACTATCAGTTGCTTTGCGCTGCTACCCGTTAAACTATTCGCAAACTTTTGGAATGCAACACCAGAATGACCTTGACGAAGTATGTGAAGGAGGATATTATTTCAGAGAAGTGTGGGGAGAAATTGGAGAGAGGGACGTGTCTAAAGTACTGAAAGTAATGACTGCGTGGTATTGGCTAGTGTTGTTTGAGTAAAACGTATTTTTCTTTTTTATTCTGTGTCCTCCGTTTTCGTTTACTTGTAGTAGGTTCCAGGAATAAAGAAAGATACAACGGATGTTTCAAACCCATTTATCTTTCTTGAATTCTTTTTTGATGAACTCCTCGTGCTTTATATTGTTACTGAAACTGTTTTGTAGACGAGTATATGAACCAACAACACCTTGTAAATGAAAAATCAAGAACGATATCGTGACATTCAACCAATTCAGAAGAAATATATGTTTTTATAGGCATACTGATTTCACAAGGTATATAACACTGAAACATGATATTACAATTTACTGGTCTAAAAATGAATTGATCGAAAACCCATTATAGGGACATTTTTTATTATAAAAAAACAAATCCTTTTTCTTTACTTTACATTATAAAAACATCATTTTTATTACTTTTAATACTTATATCCTTTTATATACTTTTACTCAAAACATTAAAATTTTGTGCATTCATTTTTTTCTATTTATTATTTTGTGAAAGTAAACCGTTTTCAGAAAGTAAAACTTGCACTTATTTTCCCCCTAATAAATTGCATAACTACACGCGTATATGTGAAAAACCGTGGCACTGGGGAATGAATCTTGTACGTTTTCCGCGGCAGTTAAGGGGTTAATAAAATATACATATTCAAGTCTCTAAACTTACAGAAAATTTAACAGATTTATAGGAACTCTTATTTTGGAGTGAAATAAACTTATTGTGAAGGTTTTAGTTTTTGCTAGTTTTCACAAAGATAGCTGTGAGTCCTTTCCCTCTCAAGAAAGGTATAAATCTTGAAACTCGTGCAAAATTTATAGAATTTTTAATAATATATAAAACCAACAAATATTGCAAACATTAAAAAATCTGAAAAATCTATTTTTAATGTGCTGTGTTATAATAAATAAATTGCATTAATAAACATTCTAAACCGAACTCGGAAGAAATAGTTCTTGAAAATCTTAGTTTTATTTCAAATTTTAAATGTAATAAAAAAAGAATACAAAATTTCCATCCTGCATAAAATAGAGATTTCTCGTTAGATCTTTTGACACATGAAATTTCACATATTATAAATGACAAAAATCCTTTTTTACAAATACATTAATCAGTAATAATATTCATTTTAGCGTACACTGGATAGTTTTCTTTTACAGGTTCAGGAAAAGTAAAAATAAATAATGGAAATATGCATTGAAAAAATGTTTACTTTTTACACATTTATAAAAAATACACACACACACACATACATATATATATATATGTATAATATAATTACCTTTGCCTATTGTGAGTATCTTCCTTTGCTATAAAAAAGCAAATACAACATGTTATAAAAACGAAACTATGCAACTTCATAATTTGAAAATTTTCTTTACAGTATCAAAACTTTTTAATAAGTAATTAAAAAGCAGTCTCTTTTGATCAATTCAAGGCATAAAATAAATACTCCATAAGAATATTTTACCTTTATCTGCTAGTGTATCTTCCACAGTAATAGTTGGGGTAGATAATGATTTTTGAAGGGGATGACTTCGAAAAGAAACTAAGAAATTTTTAGCAGAGGAACTCAAACTGCCAACACTGTGAGTCTTTTGGGGTTCCACATTCTAAATAACAAATATAATGAATAAACGAATTGCAACAAAATAGAAAGTCACACATAAAACTAAGAGAAAAATATGTTATAAAAAGTTTTACAAAATCATTTAAAATAATAATAATAATTTAAAAATCAAAATAAAGTCTTTATTTTGAGGAAGCATTTAAACTGACCAGTACTATTCTAAAATACTGAAATGAAATATGGGAATAAAAGTACACAGAAGCTCTTTCCATATAGAAATGCAGAGAAAAAGTTCAAAATCTATCTGAATTGAATGTTACAATCTGACAATTTTGATACAAAATACTTGATAATGCACTATTTAGGCTATTATGTAGTTAATTAAATAAATAAAACGATATTTTTTATTTCACATTTAAATTTCATTAAGAAATAAAGTTGAGGCACAATTAAAGATATGGAAAATTAATTAAAGGAAGAACCTTAAACATATATTTTTATATAAAGTTTTACAAAATTAAAAAATAATTTTTTCAGCAGAAAAAGAGGGATGGAAGGGAAAACTTTTTTTTTTCTTCTGAAGAAAAATTTATGTTGGTCACCCTCAAAAAATGGCAACTACACATTTTGTTTTCAAAAGTCCATAATTAAATGCAGTCGCCTTACACTGCTGCGACAGCAGAATAAGGTGCTGTTGCAGCAGCTGCTGCCCTAAGGTACAGCTGCAGTATATTGTGCTGTTTCACAGTAACCAGCAGCTCTACTGGCTGGTTAATTTGAAAAATATAATTCTATTAGAAAAGTCATAATTATGGTATCAGATACTTCAATCAAATATCCAAATTAATAGGAAATTTAAATTTTAATAATTTAAAATTCAAAATTTGATTTTTAAAACTGAACATTTAACACAACAGATAAGACTGAAATACACAGATGCATAAAAACCAATACAAATGCATTCAGGTATTTCTTATACATACCTCTTTGATGTCTGCTGATGTACCATGCATGCTTGGAACACTAGATGACTGCTTAGCTGACTTAGACAAGAATGATTCCTCACAGCTTCCATCTATTTTTTAAAGGAGACAATCATAAAATTAATATGATGAGACACTCAATTTTATAATTAAAATATTGATTTAACTCGCTACAGATTAGTGAAATGGCAATACTTTTGCAAAAGTAAAACTTACATATTATTAGGTCTTTTATTAAAGTCTTTTCCAAATGTCAAAGTATATACACAGATGCCATTTACATATTATTGGCCTATATTACTTTACAGAAATTTTGATGATTTCTCTAATCAGATAATCTATCACACATTAAATGGAAAGGAATCTCTTTAAATAGACCATTTATCTTAAAAAGGGGGGGCAATTATTAAAAGAACATTACTGAAACAGTTTGTGATAAATACGTGCTTATGTTAGTATTATAAATATAATTTTACACAGATTAAAAATGCATATGCTGTTTATGGATCTTCACAGAAGTATTTGTTACACATTTTATAAAAATAGTTACACATATTTTTTTAATGGGAAGCAAGATAAAATAACTAGATTTAATTAAACATACACATGGATCTCTCTCTTTCTGTGTGCATACACTGTGTACATATATAAAGACATTGTGCCTATAAAGGTATACGTACATACAAACACTATACATACATTGTATATGTATATATAGAGACTAATAAAAATAGGTAGGTGAATAAAGAGAGAGAAGATAAAAAGCCTCCATATAACTAAAAGGTATTAAAACATGAAAATATACTGGTAACATATATACTATTGTATCAAGCACATGTGACTGACACCCCATTGAGTTGTTGCAGCTGTGTCAGACACATATAGCTGACAACACATTTGTGTTTTAACTTTAGATATATTTATGCTGGTTGCTTCTCTTGAACTATCATATCAAATATGATTGACATGGTATGGTATCAAATATGATTGACAAGAGGAAGTAATACTATGTTGACCTGTGCTGGTTACCTGTAACTGAATTTTTTTCACTATTATCATTACTGCTTTGCATGAACAGGACATAAAATGGACAGTGCTGGATATCATAATATTCAGTTATAACTTTTTTGTTATTACAGTTCTTTGTTAGCATGGCAGTATATGTGATAATCATACACAAGCTTGAATGAGTAAATCAATGGTAATTAAATCTATCAATTAAAAAAAAAGGCAATCAAAGTCCAAAGCTTTATACAGAGCATAAATTTTGAGAACTATCTGCAACTGTAATTTTCTTTTTACTGATTTGTCATATAACTAAATCAGGGCTGGGCTGTGCGTAATACTTAGAGATACCTGCACCATATGGGGACAACATAAATGGCGAAATCAAAATACAATTTGAACCATTCAATAATTACAATTCGTTATGTAATGCTTTTCTATATTTGTCTATGTATTTCAATACTAATGTATACAATTTATGATTTATAGCACAGCTCTGCCAAAGTGCTTTCGGTAATTAAGACACAATAACATGCTGGATAAGTACTAATTCAGAAGTCAAACGACAAAAATCAGCATCATATTTTCAAAATTTTCATAGGACTAGTTTCGATGGTTTTACCGAACCACCATCCTCAGCTGCAAAACTGCAAAATTAAATCAGGGCAAACCGCAGCTGCAAAACCGCAGTTTTTGCGGTTTTGCAGCTGAGGATGGTGGTTTGGTAAAACCATCAAAACTAGTCCTGTGAAAATTTTGAAAATATGACGCTGATTTTTGTCGTTTGACTTCTGAATTAGTGCTTTTGGTATTTTTTTAATTCGGGTTCTGGTGCCGAGGGATTATTGATGAGCGCTCATTTTCAGACTTTTGATATGATACATGAACAAAACTTACAAATCTGTCATCCATTTCTATTGAATCTACAATGGCTGCCATTCTCTACAATACATCCCTAACTAAAGAATTTGGTACAGTTAAAGACAGAAGGGTAAAAATGCAGTAGATTGTAGTAATTGATATTATTAAAGTAGTTTGTATTTTAAAAATAAAAATACAGTATTGCAGTTTGTAAATCACAACTGAAGGTTATTTTAAAGAAAATTTTTTTCAAAGACTCATAGATGAAGTATACCATGAAAATTTACCATCTGACCTTGAATTAAATGTTATGCTTTTAAATCAAGTTCTTATTTCTGTTCAGTTTTTTCTTTCTGTATTATATATACATTTTCAGAATTTCAAGTGTTTTAAAAATCTCAAACTCTGCACATAAATAGTTATTTTACATGTAATACTTTTAACAAGATATTTTTATAGTAATTTCAGGCAACTGCATTTTAGCAAGACAAGCTTAAAATATAGATATAAAAAAAAATCCCACATACCAGAGAAATTACGTGTTTTTTCTCTAGGAATATAAGATAGGTTTGTGACTTTGGAGGAATGAGATATTCTGGAACCTTTAGACCTAAAACTGGAAATAGTATTGGATGACTTACAGAAAGCTTCTTCAGTATCTGAGTCCAAGCTACTCAGACTCCATCTATATTTTAGACATGAAAGGATTTATGTTATTAAACATTAAGTGATAAATAAGTATAGCAAAAAAAGGTTATTAATTTAATATATTAATCCCAAAGAGTGTTTATAGCTAAATGTAAAAATGTTTAAATTAACTAAAATTCTTGTCGTTTGAATAAAAAGTATTTAACAGCAAAGATGGGGGAAAAGTTAAATTAAAAAATGAAGCAAAAGCATTTACTAATGGAATTTATTTTAATACAAAACTACCATCCTTAATAAAACTTCTGCAATTCACAACTGGAAATTCTTTCAACACAGTATTTTTACAATGAATTGAATGCATGAAAATGTGTCATAAGTTCATACATCTAGACCTCATAAATCAAATTTCAAGTACTGTAGAATTATACGAGTACATACCTAAAACATGAAGACAATTTTTTTTTAAATGTTTGTTATATACGTATTCACAATAATACTAATATGGGAATTTTATTTCTTCATTTATCAAATTCTGGCTCAATAAACCTTAAACATTAATCAAGAAATATTAAATATTGTTAAACAATTAAAAGTTAAAAATAATATGATAAATAATTAAAAATATTTCCAAAACACATTTTTCTTGATGAAACACACTTAAATTGCATCTGAATTTGTTTAAGCATACATCACATTTATAGGAAACTGAAATAAAATAAAAAATTAATTTTTTATTTCCATGGGCAATAAATCTATGGCTAAGCAATGACTAAATTTAACAAAAACACTATACTAATATTCGATATATAACTGCATTAATGCTTATATTATTTGTCAATTCTAAACTAATTTACATGTTTCTCCCATTCATCAGAATTAATTTCATATTTTCTTATAAAATAAACAATGCACTGCATTATTTTTTTATGCTATTTTAAATCAATGAAAAAATAGAGCATATATATATATCCTAATAAGATCAAATTAACTTCGCTTAGAAAAAAAGACTAAAATATTCACATAAATAGAATTTTATTCAATATTTCCACATACTTAATTTTTTAACTAACAAAATTAGCCCCTGCATGTAATTTTAATACATAGCATGTGTATATTGTTCCTGCATTTAAATTTTAAGGGAAGGTTTAAGAAAAATCAAGGTGTAAATGAAAAAATTAAATTTTAAAAACATATCTTGATGTGTCATCGTCCTGAGAACTCAATTTTAGAGGAAGAAGAAAATGAGAATGAAGATCTAAAAGTAATGGTTAGAGTAAATTTTAGAAATGAAAATTTATACATATGCTACTAAACGATAATTTGCCTTTATCTATGGAACAGACACAGAAATTAAAATGTAATACATTAATTAAAAGAATTATACCTTCTTTGAATAAAGTGCTTATCATCATCATCTGTTGATAAACTAGCACCCAAAGAGGACCAACTCTGTCGTCGTGTTGGTACCTTTTTATTTGACCTTTTTGCCAACCGTTTTGAAGTTGTGCCGCCAATATTAGAAGTCTTGTACACAGTTGCTCCATCACTGAAAACTTTGCCAGAATGAGAACAATCACTTTCACTCAAAGGGGAAAAGAGATTTAAACACTCCTGAGATGCAGCTGGTGTGAGATCATTGACATGTATCTTAACATTGAAGGATTCTATGAAAGTAGAATCCAGAGATCTAGAATTTGAGGAAAGAGATGTCCTCCGATGCTGGATGTTTCTCATTGCAACAGCAGCTCCATCCAAGTAGACACTGGTTTCATCTCCTGAATTATATAAAATAAAATTATTTTAGGAAACATATTATGATAAACATGTATTTCTTTTTAAATATTTATTTTTTTTTCTTTTTAATTTAAAAGCCTTTTTAAATATAAATAAAATTTTCCATTAAGCACTTGCCATGCTTTTTGGTGCGTATCTAAGGAAAGCCAAATACACATCGAAACCCAATCATAGTGCTTTCTAGGAACTAAACTAGTACTTGTGAGTGTGATGGTGTGTGATGTAATTTAATTTAAATCATTTAATTCTGCATTTACAATTAAAAAACTCGCCAAAATGAGTGGCAAGTGCATAATAGACACAGTACCTAAATATTTATGTCAACAAATTAATAAATAGTCAAAAGCTGAAACTTATACAAGGCCTAAAGTGAGACCCATAAAGTAGAATACACTCAATGGTCAAAATGATTCTGATCGCCCAAAAGGAGGAAAACATTACATCAAATCCCACCTCAGTTCAATACTGTTGCCACTCAAGTTAATGATGAACATTCTTCTCCTGCCATGAAAATGGATCTAACTAAATGATGAACATATAGTGCAACAATTAATAGCCAGCCGCAGCAATCATATTTTATCTTCACTTGCCCACAGACAGATTGTAACAAGCAGAGAGATCAACACTCTATTTAACTGTTGCTAGCATGGATAATGTTAGCAACAGCATACCATGAATATGCCAATTTTACATAAATATCAGTGATCAAAAGTTAACTTGTATAGGTATTAATTGACCTAAGTATTCTCTATTGGCAGTAGGTAATATAAACTCACATGGATAAAAAAATACTACCATTAAATAACAGAGGATAGAGCCTCTTTCAGAAAATACTATCATAAAACAACAAAGTCTACGAAATCTATGAAAATCTATCCAGTTCATAAGGTACTGTGCAAGCTTTCTCATGCAATGAGTACCATTTTTTTTTGGGGGGGGAGGAGTATATAAGGGCCATTAGTGTATTTGGAACCTTTTTTTGACAGGAATAATTAAAAAATACTGTACTGCTGAGTATGATGGCATTTATCAGCAGGATAATGCAAGTCCCCAACATGCAAAGGGACCACAAATCTGGCTCAGTGAATAGCCTTTTGACCTTCAAGAGCTACATTTATTCCTGCATTCACCAATTTAAACCCTGTGGATATTTTATGGATATAATGCAGAACTCAGTAAATGCACTATAATGACATCCAACAAACATAAATACATTACAGGAAACTGCATTTGGCTTGGTATATTAATGATCCCATACCTCACTGATTCAGTGTTTTGTGGAACAGCAGCAATTATTTGGGTACATACAGAAATTTCTTGTTATTAGTTAGGGGCACCTATTTTTGACAATTCAGTTTATGTTCTAGCAATTAAAAGAGATTTATGTTAAATACATACACATTCAAACCAGTTGTATAAAAATTGTTACAAATAAAAAATAATAATACCTGATGTCATATACAGTGCTGGGCAAGAACTACTTAGTCTAGCAGGCCCACTTTTACCAGACTGCTGAAAAAAAAAAAAAAAAAAAATTTAAGAAACTATCTTTAAATAACAAATAAATGATTAAATGAGATGAAATTTAAGATATTATAAAAAGAATTATTTAAATTTAATAAATACAATCAAAGCTACCAGTAAAACATGATTATGCGATTATTACAAATTAAACAATTTACTATATTATCAATGTATGAGCTGCTTTTTAGCTTCTAAGTGGAATTGCCATTCCAGTCAATGCCCAAAATAAGACAAGGTATGCTATTTTCCCCCTTATTTAACTATTTAATTTATATATTTATTAGATTTCCCTTTATCTCTTAATTCAAATTTAATTATTTTAATTTTAAGCTATTTTATTTATTTATTTTTCTTTCGTTCCTCACAGTCTTCCACAGAGCTCAGGCACTTCTAATTTTAGAAATTGAGTTTTGCTAAGCCTTATATTTAGGAAAAATAATGTGAAAATACTGGATATATTTTAGCACAGAGGAACACCAGATTGACGTTCTTCAGTAAAATCTGGCAGTATCGAAAATGGAACTATCTCAAGGTGAAATACATTAAAAATACAATGCATTAAAACTTTATTCACTTGAAATTTTGCCGCCATACTTGCTAGTTCACTCGAATTTCGGAATGGGTGAAGCTTGCTGCAGTTACGAGCCACTTGGCACCCATGCGCATGCCCTCAAACGACTGTATAGGAAATTAAAATTAACTAACACTTCCTTAAAATCTACTATAAGGGTAGAAAAATTATCAGAACATTCTACATTTCCTGTTGAGATAGTTCCATATTCTATATAGTTAAGGACATTAATTATGACAATGCAATCAACTAATTTTTATGAAATAAAAAGTAGAAAAGTGCAGTTAAATTAATTACATGTACTCATGAATGATTTTACTCATTCGGGTAAAGAGAAAAGATATTTACAACACTGGTTATACTGTATTGGTTTTAATATTCTCTTTCCGCTTATTAAGGTGCTTAACATAAAACTTCATACAGGAACACTATCACCAGTTACAATTTTTGTATAAATACCCTTTTCAGACATCAGAAACTCATTCAGTATATCAACTCAAAAATCGTTTACCAAAAGGAAACAGTCCAAAATAAACTCTTATGTCTGTTCCGTTTTATTAAAAATCTGTTAATTTTTCAGTTTTAAATAGGAAGGATTCTTAGTAATAGATTATCTGAAGGGGGAGCCTAGATAATCATACAATTTTTTTGCCCAGATATATGGCTTTTAGATGAAAATATCATTGCCATCTGCTGTTCCGTTTATTAAAATAGCTTTCCAAAACTAAACGCAAAATTAACCGATAATAAAACCTTAATTTTACCAAACGGAGAGCGAAAAGAGATAGATATTCTTGTGTTAGTCATAAAAATATTATCATTTAATATTCATTTCAGCAGTGGTCTTTCAATAAATTGGCGAAAGTTTTGTTAATTTTTACAAGACCCAATGAATATCAAAAACCCACAAGAGGAAGTAATATTATACTATCACACATTATCCCTCTAATCCCCTTCGATTTAGCAACGACATCATCAGGAAGACGTTTTTTAAGTTCAATGGGGGTTATTCCTACGCGAAATGTGAAAAGAAAATCAATACCAATTTCTGAACACTTGAGAAAGACGATAAAAGATAAAACCTGAAATTTCGGTGTAATAAGCAAGCGCCGAAGCAACGATCACATGTGGGAGTGATCTGAAGCAAGGTCACATGATTCATCACTCAACTTGCTTGACAAACCATTCCTCCCCTCGAATGGAAAACAGTAAGTAAAAAACAGCACGCATGTCACTTATAAAATATGATAAATCGAAATTATAAAACAAATATAAGTTCCCGATTCGTCTTCCTCCTCTGCTTTATTGCTGAAGACGGCGAAAGAAAATGCTAGGAATGGATATACCCATTTGTGAAAGTCAATACCCGATTCAGAATATATAGAGAGAAATACTACTTTTCCATATTTTCGCGAAAACATATGCACAGTAACAATCATATATAAGTACTATTTTTTAGTTGTAATTCGCATTTACTCCTCTCCAACTAGATTTCGAAACATGACATCTAACATGCAGAAATACATTCCAAAGATAGTTAGTTATACAGATCTTAGTACATTACCATTACTATTATTTCTCTAACGCTTTCTCTTCAGCATGAAATGAAAGAACAATAATATAAGGCGTGATTACATTGCTAGCTTAGAAAACGATTAGTCCAGAAAACTAAATTTCGTTCGAATAATGCAGATAGTTTCAAAAATATTTTATTACCAAAATATACGAAACTGAAGACAAGCAATCACAGACAAAAATAGCTGATGTCTTTTTCACACAAACAGACACAGAAAAAGGGAGAAGAAGGCACTTTCTTATAGGACAGGCGGACCAGTTACAGGACAGGCGCCAACCAGTGCGGCCGCACCGGCCGGCAGGATTTAGAAAGCAGAGAAATTATTAAAATTTAGAGAGTCACTTAACCAGATACATATTTTGCACTTTTGTTTAAGATGTCTTGATCTTTAAGCTACCATTCGAAGCGTGTTCAAGAGTAAGCATCGAAGTGGCATTCCCTGCCATTTTATCAAAAGATCTTCTAAATCTTGTTGAGACATTAGGTATTTTTTGGAAGCAGGAGTCACGAAAAATGAGCAGAGCCTTCGCCGGGAATCGAACCACGGACATCTGGAATACGCGCCCAGCATGCAGACCACTACACCACGAAGGCACGCTAAGAAGGCGGAAGAAATACCTTATAATCTGAATATATTTCGATGCCGCCGACAGCATTTCATAAGTTCTCTAATCCATTCTCAGCCGCCACGAAACTTACTAAGAAATGGAATGTAGAGGGCTATAATCAAACTTTTAATGTAAAAAAAAATTAGGATTTTTAAAAGTTCAACCTATATGAAGAAAAATTTCCGGCGCTTCATGAACGTTCTCTCTTTGTGACGTTTCTTTTTCAAACGACATATATTCGATAGCAATTTTTTACTCGTATGCAACGTAGAAATAATAAAGTCAGAATAAAAATTCCAGACAAACACCTTGAGCTTTTCGAGCTTTCGCACTTTAAAGCTTACGTCTATAAAACTAGGTATACCCGAGACTTTTTTTTTTGGGGGGGGGGGTGGTCTCAATGTCCATATTAAATAATGCCCTCTTCCTAATAAATTGTCTTTACGAATAAAAAAGTAAGTATTTGTATAAGACACTATAGCCATATACTGTTTATTGAGGTCAGTAATACATATTAAATTCTATATACTGCGCTACGCGTAGCTTTATTGCATCATACGGATCAGAAGCTCCGAAAGTTTGAACAAGAACAATCCAAAGCTTGGAGCACTTTTTCTCTATACAATCCCCCTCCTCCCGGCTCCAACAAAACCACTTAGAGGGAAAACCAAGCTAGTCAAATACAGATTTTGTTAGAATCAGAATGAAAGAACATTCCAATGATTAAAGTATCCCCAAAAGAGGATAAAACTACGCTAGGAACTTAGCAGTGACTTTTAAATATGGTACCTAAGGTTCATTCACTCATGGTTGTTCACTATCAGACTGTTAAGGAATAGAATTACCAATGTCTTCAGAAACATCACCATCTTCTTGCTTTGCAAAGAAAGCAGTTGTTCTGCAGAATAACCGTAACCGTTATTTAACTCGATTTCACTCTGTTACTACCAATGACACACTGACAATGAAAGATCTTTAAACAATTGTAACATTCTTCAGATTTAGAACTTTTCTCCAAATCTGAAACCTAGTTTTTGATTTATTACATTCTAAATCTTCAAAAGGAGGCTTCTTTTATCAGTAAGGATTCAAAACAGTTTTAAAATTTCATTTACTTCATTATTTAATATACTAAGAATCGGTATAGATACATGCTTGACTATGTATGCCATATACCCAAATTCTTAGTAAACTTAGCATTTTATTAGGGAAAAAAGATGCAGCATGGCTTCCTAAAGAGCAAAGTTTTCTTTTTCACTTAGTAGAATAAAAGTTACGGGTAAGAAATTTTATGAATGTGATACATATGTAAAAGCTACAAAATCTTTAATAGCTAGGATATTTTATTCATCACATGGCCAATAAATATCCCTTTAACGTATAAAAGTGGGTAGAAAAAAATATCCAGGGCTTATAAAAAGCTTTGCACGCAAAGTCTGTCTTACGATCGCATACATATTTATAAGTTGTTAAATCTGTCTACTCTTCGGTAATAAGTAGACTTATAATCGATGAATTAGTAGGATAATAAGATTTCCTTAAAGGCGTTTAATTACGAAGTCAATGCAATCTATGTAATAGAAAATTAAAAGCACTCTGATACACGCAAAAGATGAATTTAATCGTATTTAGTATTCTCATTATAATTATTATATCAGTAGAAGAAATAAAGGCATGTACACATATATAAGTTGCTACCTTTTCATATCTTCAGCACAGCTATGAAATGTAGGATCTTCATACTTTTCCCACCTTTCTTTTTGAGCAAAGTTAAGTATGTGGATTGTGATGAACCACAATTATATGCATACAAGTTTTGAGTTTAAAAAGCTTAAGAGACACTACAGTTTGATGAAAAATCAGCCAATATTTGAAATTTACTCAGCTTTTCAGATACAAACATGGAAATGCAAAGTTAATAATACTGCAAAACCAAAAAACTTTGAAATTAAAAATTCGCATTTCTAACTAGCTCGATAAAGAAGTAACACAATTCAAGGCCTGTGAAAGTTATGAATCCTCTAGATAATGAATAAGTTTAACAAAAGTTAACAACTAAAGAATTGCTTTCTAGTTCAAAAGTAATGCCAAAAAATGAAGAAGTGTTTTAAGAAGGCATATTAGAATGATAAATTCAGATGAACTTAAGACTACTAAAATGAACTGAAGACCACTCACTGACAGATTGTAAGGATTTATCACTCACTGACAGATTGTACGGATTTATATTTAT